GCTGAGACAGAACACAGACTGAAAGCCTCCAACAGGAAGGTGGTGTTTTCACTCACACACTCAGCACCACACTTCCTCATCGTCCTGTACCAATAACCTAGATACAGTTTCCCGTCATGTCGTGAGCTGTAAATGATCGACAGAATATGAGCTCAGATGGAGAGGTGCGGTGTTGTCGTTACTGTCATTTAGTTTTACAGTTCTCCCTCTGACAATATTCTTTTATTGCACTTATGTTTGTACCTGGAGCCTGGAGCTGACCCTGCTTTTGCTCCTCCTGCTGCTGAGACATTTACAGGCTGAAATCTGGAGATGAGTTCAGACATTTAACAATAATATCGCTCCAAAAGAGAGAAAAATAAATTTAAGAAAGGCGCCGTTCAAGAACAAAGAAGCAGCTGTTTTTTTAACCGACCCTTTCTGGTGTTTCTCAGCTGCATTTAAGGCAACAAACTTGGGTGTTTCATCTGACCCTTTCTGGTGTTTCTCAGCTGCATTTAAGACAACAAACTTGGGTGTTTCATCTGACCCTTTCTGGTGTTTCTCAGCTGCATTTAAGGCAACAAACTTGGGTGTTTCATCTGACCCTTTCTGGTGTTTCTCAGCTGCATTTAAGGCAACAAACTTGGGTGTTTCATCTGACCCTTTCTGGTGTTTCTCAGCTGCATTTAAGGCAACAAACTTGGGTGTTTCATCTGACCCTTTCTGGTGTTTCTCAGCTGCATTTAAGGCAACAAACTTGGGTGTTTCATCTGACCCTTTCTGGTGTTTCTCAGTTGCATTTAAGGCAACAAACTTGGGTGTTTCATCTGACCCTTTCTGGTGTTTCTCAGTTGCATTTAAGGCAACAAACTTGGGTGTTTCATCTGACCCTTTCTGGTGTTTCTCAGTTGCATTTAAGGCAACAAACTTGGGTGTTTCATCTGACCCTTTCTGGTGTTTCTCAGTTGCATTTAAGACAACAAACTTGGGTGTTTCATCTGACCCTTTCTGGTGTTTCTCAGTTGCATTTAAGGCAACAAACTTGGGTGTTTCATCTGACCCTTTCTGGTGTTTCTCAGTTGCATTTAAGGCAACAAACACGGGTGTTTCAACAGACCCTTTCAGGCATTCTCAGTGGTGTTTGAGCCACCAAACTTGGGTATTTTTTCCCGATCCTTTTCGGCAACGGTTGAGCCACCGATCACAGGTGTTCTTACCAACCCTTTCTGGCACTGGTCAGTATCTCTCCAGGTCAGATACCCACCCACAGAGGCACCCTTTAGCAGTGGTATGAGATGCAATGGGTGACAGCATTTTCAACGCTCTGAGCAAGACCAAGAAAGGCCGCAGAGATGGATCGGTCAAACAAACTCTGGACATTCACCTGGGAGATCACTCATACTGGAGTTCTCAACAGGCTGAAAAAACTGAACCGAACAGAACCCTGTGAGCTGAAGCCCGAACCTGGCCTGTCCTGAGATCATCAGATAAAATACTAAGCATGAGTCCAACCAAGCCTGACAGCCCCAAAAGTGCTAGGCGGCTTCTAATGTCTGGGACACAGCAGCTGTGTAGCAGCGAGAGCCACTTTCCACACTGTATTTCCCCGCCACATTTTTGGTCTGAACCCATTGTTGTCCAATCTTTTGGGCTCAGGTTGAGATTGAGAACTCTTGCTCACATGGAAGACATTTCAGTTGGTTGTAATCTGCAACCTCACCACTAGATGCCACCAAATCCTACACACCACACAGATAAAGTGTATCATGTCCAACTTGTCAACCCAGCTGAGGTTTCACTGAAATAAAACATCAACATCTCTGAATAATGACGACCTACCTAAATCAAATCCTAATCCAGCGCCTCAGAAGTATATTTTAGTCGACCTCTGTGTCCATGACCTAAAATCATGGCTGAGTGAGGTCGATGAACTTGGGATAAAAGCGTGTTAAGATATTCTGTGTGTTTAAGGTGGAGTCTGAAACAAAGCCAGACATATTTCCTCAGACCTGTGGGGGATTGGCAGGGAAATCGATTTTCACCACATTCCAGATAAAACTCCTGCTGCTCCTTTATCCAGCAGGTGCAGTAAAAGTCCTGAATGACGGTAAGAGCTGGAAAAAGTCCCGGCATGGGGTTGTAAATGTGTGAGAGGATGTTGAGCAACAGATCAGGAGACGTCAGAGATCATAAACAACAGGAAACTCGCTCTGCATCTGTTTTTTACGTGATCATGAAGACTGAAAACTTTCTTCTTTAAGTAGACACTTAAGTTTACATTAGTGCTCTTAGTGATGACTTCTTATTGTGTTGCTGTCCTGGGTTCAGATCTGACAATAATCTCTTTCCTCGCCCACCATCCCAACCAAAGCAAATAGTACGAACAGTAACGACTCTCAGAGGTCGCAGCAGGGTCACTCTGATTCTGAGACCTGGCTTTGTTCTTCAGATATGACCATTTTCATGTCAATAATTACCAGCAGGTAATTTAAGGTGAGGCAGAAAAGCCTAAAATAGTGTCCATCAATTTTCACCCATTCTTCCCGCAAAAGGCTTCTTGGATTCTTGGGCCGTCTTCATGCTCTGTTCTTTGAGCTCTATCCTCAGATGTTTAATGATGTTTAGGTCGGGACTGGAAGCAGCTGTCAGGCAAGTGTCGTCTCTGGAATGGACGAAATAGTCTTTCCAACAGGTCCAAAGCTTCCCATGAACTCTTTGTGTTTTGGGTTTTGAACTCTGTTATTAAATTAAATTAAATAAATAAAAAAAAAAATCATGGCTCCAGGTTGATGTACACCCTAAAAAACAATTTACTGGGTTAGTGGATAATGCTTAAAATGAAAAGTGCAGCTGAAACTGTTAATCAGTTAATAAGAATATTCATTGGCAACAAATTTCGTAATCATTTTTCATGCAAAAAATAATAATTGAAAAAAAAAAAAAACATTTCCTCAAGGTGTTCTTGAGATATCGCGTTCAAAAGAATGGGACAGAATGTGTATTGATGGATGTACAGACAACCTGAACCCATATTGCCTTCAGTCACAGATGTTTCCGGCACAGAGGCATAACAACAAAAAAAACAAACAAGACAATCTCTCAGCTTTATGATTTTATTGCTTTGAAAGTTGGTGACAGAGTGCACTGCATACAGGTAGTGAGTGTGGGCCGCACACAGCACCCAGGGGTACGCCCACGTCAGTCCATGAGGTTCACAGTGGTGGGAGGCTACAGTAGGCACGTCTTCAAATAAATATAGATATATATTCATGTTCATATATGTCGAGAGTAAAGTGCTAACTTTCAGATGAACCTCCACAGCTGTGCCTCGGTGCGTTCACTCAGAAGGAAGTAGAAAAGATCCGTCAGTCAGGAGTTCGGAGGTGATGAGAGCGCTTCAGCTAAAAGCACCAAGTGTGATGAAAACCAGCAGAATAATATTGTGTAGAAAACAACAAGGAGAGTCAACATCGTCTTCTTCTAGCTTCAATTAAAGAGTTTCACTCCAATATGAAAAGTGTAAAAGTGACGTCCACCCTCAGAGAATAATAAACTACACAGAGAGGTTTGTTGTAAAAGCAGGAGAGCTAAATTATATCTGACAAGAGGAAACAAACTCTTCATTTCAGTTCATTAGAAAACAAACGTGATGTCATGAGTGAAAATAAATTACTGGGGAAACGTTTCCCCGTTCTCCATTTAAGTTTTCAAAAAGGCTACAATAAATTACTATAAAACAAAACTGATAACACACCTGATGGTGATTAATGACACGCCGGCCACACGCAGCTCGACATGCAGCTTCAACACAACAGTTCAGACACACAGATAACAAAGGGAGACTGGGAACACTAAAGAGATGAGGGAATAAACGCTGAGCAGACATTGAAACGCAACACTTTTGCTTACATCTTTTCACATGTTTAAGTTAAAGATTTAAGACTTTTTTTTGCACTCAGCAGATACTTTTCTCTCAAATGTTTGTCCCAAATCTGTGTCAGTGAGCTCTTCTCCTTTTCCAACATCCATCTGACAGGTGTGTCTGATCAGCTGCTGATTACACAGCATCATTACCTCACAGGTGTGTCGGGATGGTCACGATTAAAGGACACTCTTTTAAGCAAACTTTTAAGTTTCGTGCAGCGACACTGTGCATCATGGATCTGATAAACTAGGAGATGAAATTAAATGTGATGTCTGCAGACTGTACGATGACAGCGCCGACTGAATCACAGGCTACGATGTACTATGCAACAGCTTTGCATGCTGCAGTGCTGCTGCACAGGTTATTACTTCTCATAACTGTGAAGCCCAACATAGAGGCTCACATTAATAATATTAATACAATTATTATCACTATAAAAATCTATTTTTTTTTATTTTTTAAAAAAAGTTGACAAAATGTCAAAAAAATATTATTGACAAATATTAAAGCGTCCAAAAAAGTATAAAAAAGCTCCAAAAAATGTTGATAAAATGCTTGAAAAATATCAAATTGTCTGGAAAAAAATGTTTAAAAAATTTCCAAAAAAATGTCTGAACAAATGTTGATAAAATGTCTGAAAAACAAAAGTATAACAAAGGTTAATGAAATGTCAAATTATATTCTTAAATGGTCCAATTTTTTTTTTTAAACGTCTGAAAAAAAAGTAAAAAAAAATAATGTTCATGAAAAAATGTTAGTCCAAAAAATATCAAAAGTCCCAAAAAATGTTGATGAAATGTCCAAAAAATATTATCTGAATGTCGAAAAAAATGTTTTTATTGTGTCCAAAAAAATGTCAAAAAAGTTCCAAAAAATGTTGATAAAATGTCTGAACAATATTAGTACACTGTCCAAAAAAGTTAATAAAATGCCCAATATAATTAATAAAATTAAAACTGTGGATACAATATTCTAAAAATATGTTAATAAAATGTCCAAAACAAAAAGTTATTAAAAGGTCCAAAAATGTTAACATAATCTCAGGAATAATGTCGATAAAATGTCAGAAAACTATTATTAAATGGTCCAAAAAATATTAATAAACTGTCGAAAAATATGTTGATAAATTATCCAAAAAATATTATTGAATTGTCTGAAAAAATGTCGAAAAAATGTTGATTAAATATCCATATATATGTGTTAATAAAATGTCCTACAGTCCCACACATGTCTCTTAGCGTGTTTTGCTTCCATGTCGAGCTGCTATCTGTCTGTTTGTTTGGGTTTAGCGCCAGTGCGTCATTTCATGCTGCATTTCTATTGGTTGGTTAGTAGACGAAGGTGCTAACAGCAGTCGACCATCTTAAAGATAATGCCATGTTTCTTTCATGGTGGTCGTCTTTTTCGTCTGGGACAGCCTGAAGTCACACAGGGCTTCAATCTGACACATTTGTGACAAAAGTTTGAGAGAAATTAATCTGTCGAGAGCATAAAAAAGTCTCAGATCTTAAACTTAAACTTGTAAAAACAAAAGTGTTGTGTTTAAATTTTTGTTCAGTTTAATCGCTGCACTTCATTTTCGCATTGTCGTCTCCAGTGGGTGTGAATACAATCAGATATGATTCTAAATTAAAGTTTCATGACTACGTTTACATTCACACTAATATTAGTCTGCATGTAAACGTAGTCAGGGACCACAGGTTGGATGTTTCTGGAGAGTGAAGGCTCAGCTTGGAGTCTTTGGTGATACAAACCCCTCCAATAGTGACCAGTTTACGCTTTAGCATTGACTGTGTTTGATACTAGAAAAAGTTTCTGTGTTGAACTCAGGAACTTCACCTGCAAGTCTCTGCGAACTAAAGCAGGAGAATGAATCAGAGAACACGATATCTTCTGTACAGTATCCATTTAAACATCACAGACGTGAATTATCCATTTTCATCTGCTTATCCGAAGCCGGGTCGCAGGGCAGCAGGCTTAGCAAGGTAGCCCAGATGTCCCTCTCCTCAGCAACACTTCCCAGCTCCTCCTGGAGGACCCCGAGGTGTTCCCAGACCAGATGAGATCTATAATCCCTCCAGTGTGTTCTGGGTCTGCCCCGGGGCCTCCAATCAATCAGACGTACCCAGAACACCTCTAACAGGAGGCGCCCAGGAGGATCCTGATCAGATGCCCGAACCACCACACCTTTAGACTCAAAGGCGCAGCAGCTCTACTCTGAGCTCCTCCCCCTATCTCTAAGGCTGAGCCCAGACACCCTTTGGAGGAAACAAATTTCGGCGCTTGTATCCGCGATCTCATCCTTTCGGTCACTACCCAGAGCTCATGACCATAGGTGAGGGTTGGGGCGTAGATGGACCGGTAAGCCTAAAGCTTCGACTTCCAGCTCAGCTCCCTCTTCACCATGATGGTCCGGCGGAGTGCCCACATCACAGCAGACACCGCACCAAACCACCGATCCATCTCACGCTTCATTCTACCCTCACTCGTGAACAAGACCCCGAGATACTTGAACTCCTCAGCCTCAGATTTGACGGGAATAAGACGATGTCTCTGTGTTGTTGTCTAATTGTTGTGCAAAAATTAGGCCTCAAAGAAGCTGTCGTTTTCGAACCAATCATCAGCCTAACTGACCTAATTTAGTTCCCGAGGCTCTTCAGTTCCCAGAACTATTCGATGAAGAGCCCCATGGGAAATGTAGTTTTGCATGGAATCCTCTCAGCCATGACCTCAAACACGATTTAACGTTAATATCAAAATGCTACATGTAGCCCCCTCAAATGAAGAAACTGTCCACGACCTGGTGCCTCCATCTTGATCCAGAGCAGTATCAGAGCAGCGGCCTCTGCTCCAGCGGCAGACTGTCCACCAGGCACTTGAGCTGCTCCTCGCCCAGCTTGATCTTGTCCTCCAGCTTGCGCTGCTCGATGATGAGGGCCGACTTCATCTTCACAAAGTGGCGGTAGTCGTCCAGGCTCTCCGCGTCCAGGTGGGCCTCCATGATGCTGGAAACCAGCCGCTCCCGACGGTCCAGGTTCTCCTTCAGCTCCTTGGCGTCCTCGTGCTGCTGCATCAGCAGCTTACGCTTCTCTGTCAGGGTCCGCTGATGGAGGACGGACATCAGGGATTAATCAGTGGACAGTTTTGTTATCTGCACATCATCTGAACAGATTTAAGATGTTACCTTCTCCTCCGGCGACGCCTCGTCCTCCAGGGTGTTGAGAGCGTTCTCCACGCGGGCGAGCCGCCCCGACAGCGACAGCAGCAGGCTCACCACCTTGTCCAGGTCGCCCACAAACATGCAGAACTTGTCGAGCTGGTTGGCCTGACAGAGGCGCTGCACGGTGGCCTCCACCTCCCGGCCCAGTGCCTCGTTGTCCTCCACGTCCTCCTGCAGGCTCTGCCGCGCCTCCCGCAGCACCTCCAGCTTCTTCGCCAGGCTGGAGATCAGCTCTTGCTGCAGAGCACGAAGAAAAGGAGTAAAACACATTCAGTACAGAGCATCAGAACAAGAAGCATGTGTTACACTGTCTGTGTCTCTGAGGGTGAGTTCTACCTTTTTACTGGCGAGGTCGACGTCCAGCTCGTCCTCAGAGTCCTGCTCCTCCAGCTGCTCCTGCATGTCCTTCATCTTGATGAGGAGCTCGGCTTTGGGAGCTGATGTGTTGTAGTAGGAGGAGCTGGGGACCAGGGAGGTGGTGGCTGATACGGACAGGTCCTCCTCCTCCCTCCTGACAAGGAAACACAGATAGTGATGTGTTTTAAAATCTACCTGCAACCAGCAGATGAAAACTGCCCACACCTTAATAAACTGTAATGAGACATGTGTCCACCAGAGGGCAGCATGACTGAAGCTGAAACAGGCTGTAAAACATCAGCTCTCTCATTCTGAGCTGTTGAACAAAAACATTTGGTTTCATTTGTAAATTTAATTCATTAATGTCCTTGACTGTGCATTTATATATGTAGTTCTCATAGAGTATTAGAAAGAAGAAGGGCCACGTTGACTACATATGCAGTGAATAAACAAACAGGCAACAGAGTACACACATGTAAACAGACAAACAACAACTACTACAAGTGTGGTGTTGTGCAATGTAGTGAGACTCAGAAAGTTTGATCTCGTTCCAAAAACTTGCATTTATTTAACAACATTTAAAAAATGTTAATAATGTGTCAGAAGAAAATGTTGATTAAGTGTGCAAAAAAAGTGTTTTTTTTTTTAAAAAGTCTGGGGAAAATGCTAATAAAATGCCCAAAAAATATTAATAAAAAAATCTGAAAAAAAGGTTAAAAAATGTCCAAAATATATAAATGATGTGTCAGAAAAAATATGATAAAATGTCCAAAAAAAAAACTGTGAATAAAATGTCTAAAAGATATTAATAAAGTGTACAAAAATAAATATAAAATATCTGAAAAAAATATTTATACAATGTCCAAATAAAGTGTAATAAAGTGTCAGAAAAAAATATGATAAAATGTCCAAAAATATCAATAAAATGTCTGAAAAAAATCAATAAAATGCCTTAAGAGAAATAGTAATAAAATGTCTGAAAATAATGTGAATAAAATGTCTGAAATATATTAATAATGTGTCCAAAAGATATTTATAAAATGTCTGAAAAAAATGAATAGTGTCTGAAAAAAAATATGAAAAAAATGTTGATAAAGTGTGCAAAAAAGTGTTGTTAAATGTCTGGAATAAATGCTCATAAAATGCCCAAAAAATATGAATAAAGTTTGTGCTAAAATGTCAGAAAAAATATGAATAAAAAGTCTGAAAAAAAGGTTAAAAAATGTCCAAAATATATTTATGATGTGTCAGAAAAAATATGATAAAATGTCCAAAGATAATGTGAATAAAATGTCAGAAAGATATCAATAATGTGTCCAAACAATATTTATAAAATGACTGAAAATAATGAATCGTGTCCGAAAAAAATGAAAAAAAAAATGATGATGGAGGGTGCAAAAAAATATTAATCAAGTGTCCAAAAGAAATCAATAAAATGTCTGAAAAATATTAATAATGTGTCCAAAAAATATTAATAAAATGTCTGAAAATGTTAATACAATGTCCAAATAAAGTGTAATAAAGTGTCAGAAAAAATATGATAAAATGTCCAAAAAATATTAATGAGCTGTCTGAAGTGTACAAAAAAATGAAAAAAAAAAAAGATGATAAAGTGTCCAAAAAATGTTGAAGTGTCTAAAATATATTAATAAAATATCTGAAAAACATTTAAACAAATGCAGTTTGTATTTTCTGATTAAGCAAATGTTATTTAGCGAGAGTTTAGCTTCAAACTGCTGCTCCACACCTGTACCTATAAACTGACCCACCTGTCCAGGCTCCTGGGGGAAGAGGTGGGGAGTCTGGAGCCAGACGAGGCCCTCCTGCGCTGAAGCGCCCCCTCCAGGATCTGCTCCTCTGTGGGGAAGAGTCCCTCCATCAGGTCCATGGTGGTCATCCTGCCGCTCTGGTCCAAGATGTCCACCAGCGTCTTGTCTTTCCCCATGATGTCTCTGGCCAGCTCCTCTCTCTTGGCGTCCTCCTCTGAGTGTCGAGCCTCGGATGAACTCGACTCAGGGACTGACTCCTGGAGCTGATCCTGAGCGGCCTGGCGGGTGTAGGCGCTGAACAGGGATGAGACCGGCCGCTCCGAGGTGCTCAGGGAGGGGATGTTGGCCGGCGGCTGGAAGGCGCTGCAGGTGTCGCTGCTGCTCTGAAGCAGGTAGGTCCTGCCCTGTCGCTCCAGGCTGCTCTCAGCATGGACGATCCTCACAGGGACTTTCCTCACCGGACTGCTCACGTCCATCTCAGCTGACGAATTCAGATCATTGTCTGACCTGGACAGGAAACAGATTTTACAATTAAAGCCTGAAGTTAATCTTTTATAACTGATATCAGTCTTACTGAGGGGACTGAGGATGCATGGCATCAGCATCAGGTCACAGTGACCTTTGAACACCAAATTCTAATCAGTTCACTCTTGACTCAAGATGGACGTTTATGCCAAATTTGAGGAAATTCCTTCAAGGTGCTCTTGAGATATCGCATTCCCAGTGACCTTTGACCACCAAAATAGAATTACTTCATCGTTGAGTACAGGTGGACGTTTGTGCCGAATCTGAAGAAATTGCCTTGACATGTCCTTGACGTATAATGTTCACAAGAATGAGTGGGACACAAATTCACGGTAACCTTGACCTCTGACAACAAAATCGTAACCGGTTTGTGCCAAATTTGAAGAGATTCCCTTGAGATATCACATTCATAAGAATAAGATAGACAAGGTCACACTGACCTTTGACCACCTAAACCTAATCTGTTTTACTTGGCTCAAAGTGGACGTTTGTGCCAAATCTAAAGAAATTCCCCCAAGGCCCTCTAGAGATATTGCATTGATGAGAATGAGACAGACAGGGTAACATTGACCTTGACCTTCAACTGCCAAATTGTATTAATTAAATTCTTGACTCAAGGTGGTTGTTTGTGCCAAATGTGAGGAAATTCCCTCAAGGCTGTCTTGAGCTATCGCATCCCTGAGAAATGAAATGGACGCAAGGTCACAGTGACTTTTACTTTGACAACCAAATTGTAACCAGTTCATCATTAAGTCCAAGTCGATGTTTGTGCCACATTTAAAGAAATTCCTTCAAAGCCTTCATGACATATCACATTCATAAGAATCAGATAGACAAGGTCACACTGACCTTGACTTTTATCCACCAAATCCTAATTAGTTTTACTCAGCTCAAAATGGACGTTTGTGCCAAATGTGAAAACATTCTCTCAAAGTATTCTTGAAATATCGCATGTCCATTTTATCTCATTAGATAACTGTATGAAGTTTTGTCATAATTAGTGCATGAATTCTTGAGTTGTGGCCAAAAACATATTTTGTGAGGTCACACTGACTTTGACCTTTGACCACTACCTAATCAGTTTTACTCAGCTCAAAGTGGACATTTGTGCCAAATTCAAAATCATATTCTTGAAATATCGCATGTCCATTTTATCTCATTAGATAACTGTATGAAGTTTTGTCATAATTAATGCATGAATTCTTGAGTTGTAGCCAAAAACATATTTTGTGAGGTCACACTGACCTTGACCTTTGACCGTCGACCACAAAAGGTGTTCACGAGAATGAGACAGACGAGGTCAGAGTGACCTTGACTTTGGTCACCAAAACCTAATCAGTTCATCGTTGAGTCCAGGTGGACATTTGTGCTGAATTTGAAGAAATTCCCTCAAGGCCTTTTTGAGACATTGCATTAACAAGAAGAAGTCGAACGTCAGGTCACAGTGACCTTGACCTTCGACTGCCAAAACCTCATCTGTTGGCTTAAAGTGGACGTTTGTGCCAAATTTGAAAGAAGCACCTTAAGGTGTGTTTTCACAAGAATGAGACAGACAGACTGAAAATATGATGCCTCTGGTTGAGTCATAAAAAGATGCGTTCACTCAAAGTAAATCAGGTTTGGATAAAAACATTTTGTTGTCTCGACTTTACATCTAAACAAACATCCATCCTGAGAATGACTCAAAGACGCTGGAAACATTTTTAATAAACGTCAGAGCTGCAGTTTCTAATTACAGGACGGGTCGTAAAGTAGAGCAGCGATGGAAAACAAAGCAGCCGTGTGGCTTCAGCTAAATTACAGCCTCCAGTCTGATTCGCCTCGGGCTGCGGAGGAACTGTACGACAGGCACAATCAGACTGTGATCGTTCTCTGTGTGGACACATGTTACTCTACAGGCTTCTTCATCATCTTCCTCCTCTTCAGTTAACTCCTCTTAGTGCTGTTTGAGTTCAGTCCCATCACACGTGTTATTTACAGAATGAGAATGAACCTGTTATTGTTTTGTTTACTGCCTGACTCCACTTGTTTACCCTAAGCCTCCCCTGCTGGAACAGAAAGACTTTATGTAACGAGGGTCGCCGAGGAGACCTAAGCTGCTTACCTGAGCGTCAACTCATCCTGCACGATCACCACCGGCGGCTTGTCGGTCAGTCTCAGCGGTGCAAACTGTGGCGAGGGAGACCGCGCTCCATCTGCGGGTAGAGTCAGAGATGGTGTCAAGGAGGGCGGCTGCTCCCTCTCCACCTCGCCGTCTACACCTCCTCTGCTCATATCTGCTGTGGACGTCCCGCCGAGGTGAGGGGAGCTGGCCGGGGCGGGGCCGGCGGAGGAGTTCTGGGCAGCGGCGTGGTGCTGGGTGTCAGAGCTGCAGCTGGACAGAGGCTGGTGCGCTGCCTGGGCGCCAGCGAGGAATTCCTGGGAGGAGGATGTGGTTTCTGGGCCTAAATGGGGCCTGGGCGGCGGCGGCAGGAGGCCCTGGGTTTGTGGACGCTGGAAGCCGGGGTTGGGGCTGAGGCTGCGAGGGCCTGAGCAGTGTGTAGTGTGAGAGGGATTGGCAGCGTCTGGTTTGGGCCTGTGGTCAGCGAGGCCTGGGACCAGGCCCTCGTTTCTGGGGACTGACGGGGCCGGCTGTGGGCTGTGGTCGGGCTGGTAGCGCTGCCTGCTCTCTGTTTTTCCTCTGGAGGTCAAAGCAAAGACAAACGACATCAGTACCTGAGGGGAAAGACTCATTTTATCTTCTGTACAAACAATTCCAACAACTAGAAGAAGAAGTTTGTGCTTTTTCCTTCTTTCGACACATCTTTCAAAGACGTTCAGTATACTGACATCTCTGAAAATGTGTTAAAGTAAAGTCTGTTGACACTCAGGCACTTGTGGATGCGTTCCATGCGTACTGTGTATTTTTCAGTGGTACTGGTTAGAAATTGGGCATCGACTCAAACTCCATCAAGACAGCATGAATTACCAGTAGTTTCCTGGCTGGTTAAACCACAGCTCTGTGTAGAAAACAAGGCTGTGACTCCAGTGGTAGTAGTGTGGACTCTAGGTGTAAGCACATGGGCGGATCATAAGACAATGGGCCCCTGGGCACAGACATGCAAAAGGCCCCACCACCTCTCCTACACAGGAGCAAGACACGCAGACTGTGTGATGGTTTTGTGTCCCTTTGTTCTCATTTGTTTCTCTTTGTGGTCATTTTCAGTCTCGTCCTGGTCAGCGGGGGGCCCCCCGACACTTTAGGCCCCTGGTAGGCCTGTTCAGTAATCCATGCATGTGTAAACGTAGCATCAGTGAGCTGTTTTAAAACAATGTGTGGTCGAAGCCTCGGAGGCTTTAGAGGGGTGTTACCTGCTCACAGTGAGTGTGTGTTACAGTTCAGGAAACCTGAGCCACGAGTGTGAAAACCAGACACAGAGGTCAGGTAACACCTGAGCAGAGACAGAGACGGGGCGGGTCTGACTTTATCTAAAAATATGTTTTTATTACACCAATATTTGCGTTATTATCATGTATACTATATAGTGTCAGGTTTGCTGACACTCGTGGTCGAACGTCGTATTTCCTGACAGGTGTTTATGTCACACAAAGGAGCAAACCCTGTGGATTCATTTCACCGTTTAGCCAAGGAAGCGATCGTGTACGCAACAGATAAGTGTTCATTACCAAAAGCAGCTCAAGCATCAAATGATACAGTCTCCACCCGCCGTAAATCACCTGTAAGTGAGCAGCCACTTTTGTAAATGTGGGTGTAGTTGACGACAGGAATCCAGAGTCGCCTCAACGTGAGCTGCGACAGCTGGAGATAAAGTTGGGAGGAGAGCTAGTGTGACGGAAAATGATATTTCTTTTTCACCTCGGGAAACTGAGATGCGTTCTGTCTCCGTCCTGAAATCTCACCACTCACATACATTTCACATTTATATGAAACTTTGTGTGCTTTTCTTCTTGGTGAATGTTCCAGAGACGGACAGGAAGTGCAGTGATCAGCACTGCTATTGAGCTTGTTGGATATATATATATATATATATATATATATAAAATCTCACCTGTAAGTGCTCTGCTGGCTGTGAGGGTCTCTCCATGCTGAAGGAATGTTCTGCAAAACAAAGGTAAAGGGCTTCTTAGCCTCATACTGCAAATCCAGTTATGAGCTCATAGACTAAAACATCCATCATTACTAAGCATCTCATGTTAGTAGAACAGACTCACTTGGTCATCTGCCTCTTTAACTCTTTGAACAACAGAAATGATCCGCCAGTGCCTACATCAGTATTTTTGCTTATTGTGATGTCACTTCCTGGAGTATCTTGAAAAGCTTCACATCCCTACAATCTGTACAACCTGAGCTAAAAGGTTATGTCGTCAATAAACCATAACAAGTGATAAATGTATTGGAATTGCGTCATTAAAAAAAAAACAAAGATCGGACATGTTTTTTCCCCTTGGGTTTTGGCAACAAAAGCATGTGTTGGTCCGCCCGCCCCACTCGGACTTTCGCCACCTTAACTTTGGTCCTTGTCTGGCTGCATTTCCCCCTGACACCGCCAGGTGCTGTTAAACTATAACGGCAACCGGCTGCGTATCATGCTGACGTTAAAGAACGCCTTTTTTCATTGGTTTCTGACGCCCTAAGTCACTGCCCAATTACCGGATTTCAACAACTTCAGAGTGGGACCGTGGTCAAAAACACCATGTTTGCACGATGATGTTTGTAAGGGAAGATAACGTAAGGAAACTTTCTGCTGCATAAAGAATGAATGCTCTAGCTATTATGGACTTTATTCTAGAGCTATTTAAATAGGATCATGCAAACGATCTCTTAAAGGGTTAAAAATAGACTCGTCTGCATCAGGGTTAATCACCTGTGTATAGAAGTCTGCAGAGGGGGAAGATCGGGACCTCTCATGGATGCACACAGCCTTCTCCTCGGCATCTGCGTCCAAGATGTTCTCTGCTGAATGATACCTCCCTTGCGTCTTGGCCTCTGATGACTTCTTCTGTTTGTTCCACGTGGCCTGGTACTCAGCGAAGGTCCCAAGCCTCTGCTGCTCTAGTAGGACCTGCTTATGTCCGGGACTGAGGTGTTTGGGGTCTGCAGAGGGGTGAACTCCCTCTGGCTCTCCAGAGGGAGTTCTCTCTTTGGGTTTCTCACCAAGGTCTGCGTTCAAGTTTGTACCCTGACTGGACTTCAGCACAGGCCTGGAAAATGCCGGTTTGGCCTCAAAGAACTTTCTGCGCTCTCCGAAAGACCCGGTCTGAGGTTCTCCCTCCACTCCCACTTTGTCTATCTTGTCAGGCTCTGAGAAGGAGTGCATCCTTTTGGCCAGGGGGAAGCGCTTACGTCCTCTGATGCGTCCATTGGAGGTTTTAACTACCGGCACCTCTGGTCCAAGAGGCTCAAGGTCTCGTCTTTGGAAGGAGGTGGCCTGAAGGACCCTTGCCTGCGCCTCTTTGAGGTGGTCCTTGTAGGTGCTGGAGAAAGAGACACCAGAGGAAGTTTTTGTAGATCTCCACTCCTCGGCCTCCTCGTCCTCGGCTTCGCATGTCAGGGTTGCAGCGCTGCGGCTCTTTTGCAGCTGGGCTCGCTTCTGCTGGATCTCATTGCGGAGAGTGGTGGCGTAACGGTCACTGCGGCGGTTAGATTTTCCCCCACTGGCGGCCATGGTGTCACTGGCATCCTGGGTGGTCATAGCTGCTGGTTGCCTCACAGCCAGACTCCTACTCTCCTGGGCCAGGGAGTGGAGAAGTGGGGTTTTCAGACGGGATATTCGGTGATCATCTTGTGGCACCCATGGGTCTTGGTGCCTTATGGCCTTATGATCATTACTCTGATGTGTTGGGAAGTGACTTTTTAGGTCATTAGCGTGTCCTTCACCTCTCTTTGCAGCATCTTCCAGGCCTCGAACACAAACTTCAGAGGTTTGGTGGTCATAATGTAAACCATTCCCCAGCTGGGAATGGCCACTGCGCTCCTTATCTTCACTATAAGGCAGCTGGGACTGAGGTAGAGAGTATTTTGCCTTCACGTTTGTCTTAAGGGAACTTGGGAAGCCTGGTTCATTGCTGTTTACCCAGTGAGGTTTCTCTGTGTCCCCCCTCAGACCCTCTGCTTTGCCCTGCCTGGCCTGGAGGTCAGCATTCTGAACCGTATGCTTCCCTGCCAAAGCGTAGTATCTGTTGTGCCCTCCATTCTCCGGATTAGCAGCAGAGCTTGCAACAGATGCTGTAGAGTGCCGGACCTGTTTGCGGCCGAAGCCGTTTGTGGGCAGATCCTGGAGGCTGCGGTAGTAGCTTCCTACACTCTGAATCTTGGTTGGAGGAGCTGTCCTGGTCTGCAGGTAGAGGGGGCTTTCGTCACTGTACTGCCTCTGGTGGGCAGGTAGTTTGGTGTAATGAGGCTGTCTGACATCATTGCTGGACAAGGAGAAGAGTTTGTTGGGGTGCAGCTGGTTGTGGTTGTGGTCAGCTGCCATGTTGGGATGGAGGAAGTCTTTGGTGGGCAAGGGGTTGAAGCTACGTCTGGCCTCTGAGGTTTTCTCCTGATGAGATCTGAGGCCATTCTGGTTATTTTCTGTAAGCTTTTCAACTGATCTGCCATGGCTCTTTGCTGGACCACCAGGCCCTTCAGAGTAAGGGAACACCTTTGTGGCAGCAAAGCTGTCACTGCGCAGGGGAGGGGGTGGGGGAGGAGGAGACTGGGACTTCTTCTTCTCTGGTACCTGCCACACTGGGCTGATACTGGGCCTCCCTGCAACGGAGACCCGAGAGGCAGGTTGCTCATCCCAGCTCCCGTTCCCCAGCGTCGGCTGCAGGTACCTGGGCCTCTCTGCCTGCTGAGGCCCTTCACTCTGGGGGCCCTTGAAGAAAATGCTTTCAGCGCTGGTTCCCTTCCTATCAGATGTGCTGAGGTCATGACCAGGAGGGCTGGTGCTGGTGAAACAGCTGAACCCAGAGTCTCTTTTGCCTCCTGGTCCACAGTGTGGCTCGGCACTGCTGATGTATTTGGTCGGGGAGAGATGACCTGGTGAGAAGGGATGCGAGGGACGCTCCAGTCTCTCCATGTTGTTCGCTGAGGTGAACTGGCTGGTTAGCTGACGCTGGGTGCTCTGGTCCTCTTGATTTGATGAGTCTTTGGGCCTGGTGTGTAACATCAGAAAAAAAAGTTGACTTTGATAGATTGAATTAAGTCACAAAGCTACCTTTATTACTTTACACTTGAGACCACCAAATTCAAATCAGTTCATGCCTGAGTCCAAGCTGATGTTTGTGCCAAATGTGAAGAAATTCCCTCAAGGTGATCTTGAAATGCCACATTTGCAATAAAGGGATGGACGAGGTCACATCGACCTTGACCTTGGACCACCAAATTCTGATCAGTTCATCCTTGACTCAAAGTGGACGTTTGTGCCAAATTTGAGGAAAGTCCCTCAATGAGTTTTTGTTATGTTATGGGAACAATTACCTTTGACCACCAAAATCTAATCAGTTCATCCTTGAGTCCAGGTGGACTAAAGGATGAACTCTTTCCCTCAAGGTGATTTTGAGAAATTGCAGTAACAAGAATGGGAAAAAACGATGGACAACCCAAAAACATAATGCCGCCAGCCACGGCTGTCGCTAACGTGGAGGCATGTCAATATTTTCTGCCCCAGGAGAAGCACAAAGAGAACCTAGAAAGCTCACCTCGCTTCATGCTTTGGCCGCCAGACTGGTGCTGGGGCGGCCTCTTGCCTGGCGCGCTCGGACTCCTCTTCTGTCAGCTTGGAGGAGTGCCAGGAATGTGGCCGTGAGCCTGGATCATTCTTTCTGCAAAGCAGAGAGGCAAACAAGCACTTTACACAGGGGAGTATTTCATATTTCAGAGTGCAATGGTTAAACATTTTTTCAGGCATTTGGCACCCTCATCATTTTCCTCCAGGAGCCCACTGTGCACTCTATCACTCAGGGATGAGGTGTTTCCCCCTTTGATGGCATATGATGCCCGAAATCTAAGTCCAGCAGCAAAGTTGCTGCACTTGTTACCACTCCTCTAATATCAGTTCAGACTGGGAAGGTTGGAGCATGGGTTGCCTGGTACTGCAGCAGTGTTCTTATCTATTTAAAGACCTGTGTGATTGATTGATTGAAACACAAGTTGTGAGCATCCTGACGACACAAAAGGAGGCCTTTAGCCCACACAAGAGAAATCACCAGAGCAGCGGATGGTATATTTGCAATGTCTGTCAACGCTTGTCACGTCTGTTTACATAAACACCACTGACAACTATGTCATGGTCTTGAAGGGTTGTCCCATTTCATAGAGGAAGATTTAAACCACTACCCCTTGTGACTCTGTTCCAAGGAGAAAGGTTGCACTTGAAAATGAGGGGTAGGGGTAAAAAAAAATAGAAATGGGATTGAGCCTAAATGTTCCAACAAACAAAAGCCCCGTTTCCACCAAAACCTTTCAGTCCAGTCCCTTTGGAACCAGCAGTAAGCCTTCAGACATGGTACCTAGACCCTCGGTGTGTTCAGACAGTCCTCTTAAATGTGGGCGGGGTTGTTGTCACTCACTGCTCCGTCCAGCACTCGCTGTATTTCCTCATCAGCGGTGACACAGATGGAAGTCTGCACCTGGTTTATCGTCCACAGAACGAGGCTGCACGCCCACATTTTCACAACAAAACAGAACAGGCTGCAGTGAGAGTCTGGCGTATGGAGAGAGACTGTCCGAAGGGTTACGTTTGGTTCCAGAGGTACTATACCGAAAGTGTTTGGTGGAAACGGGGCTTTGTTAGAACCCTAGAAAGCTAAACTGATAACATTACTATACTACGCGCTCTACTTAAACCAAATGAGCACATACCCTTTGAAGCGGTTTTTCCTGGAGAGCATGTTGGAAAAGAAAAGAATTATTCACACAACATATTCAACAGATTAAACCAGAGATAGTCTACTTCATGACATGTACATACGACAGACCAACTGATAGCTATGAGGAGGCCGAACGTCACTGGGCTGGGTACAACTTAAGGACTAGCACCACACAAAATACAAAGGAAGGAGCAGAGAACACAACGTACACACACGACGACCAAACTACCATCAAACACAATGGCTGGCCGATGGTACCTCATAGAGCTCCGCAAAATCTTGGTGAGAAAGCTCCTCGCCACGTGAACCTCGGTTTCTGACGGCATTGTGCGTGGTGACACAACATCAACCATCTTAGCTCTGATAGGCAGCGAGTGAAGGAAGCAGGAAAAGAGACATAGAATATTATCAAATACAGTCTTTCTTCTTTCTGAAGCAGAACAAGGTGAGACGAGCCACCGCTCTGCGCTGCGTCACAGTTGGACTAATGATGTCTGAGATTTCATGTAATTACAGCTGCCTGTGCCCAAGGAAACATCACACGACCCTCTCTTATTGTGGAGGGCTTGGACAACAGGAGCAGGGGACAGACCTGTCACAGCCATATGGCCCAGACGGAGATTAGCTGCTTAGCTTTTAGAAAACTTAGACGGATGTGATTCACAGGTCGCCCCCTGACCACCATGACCTCCCTTTAGATTCAAGTTTTACTGTGCCGCTAACAAGGACAGAATATGCTCTGACATTTGTGGAGGTTGTTTCCCAAGTTCAAACGTCAGAGCGATGTGAAATATCTCATCCCGATGAGACTTCAGCGGTGATGACTGAAACCTTAACCCTGCCAGGTCACGATGGAGATGCTGCATTCTTTCAGCGAAGGAATGCAGGGAGAGATACCTTCGCTTCAAGTGGGACATCTGTGTCAGCCATCTCATCCCAGGAGTCTGAGAGTCTCCCTGCAGTGGAATAAAGAGTGTGTGGCGCCTTCTTTCGAACAATACTTCATATCTGATTTCTTTACTGACGCTGGATTGTTGCGTATAATCCCACCAGGGACACAAGAGGTGACTCATCCTGTCAACACGTTGTTTTACTCTTAGTTTGGATAATTACAAGAAGCAATGGGAAAGAAAGGAAAGAAAGGAAAGGTCAAAGTCTTCCAATACAACCGGTGTTTGCTGAGGAATTTTCTCTGGAGATTAATAATCCATTTAAATCTGACTAAATATTTATTCAGGACCGGAATTAATTGGACGCTCATTGTTAAGTCCAAGTGGACATTTGTGCCAAATCTGAATGCGGAAATGCGACAGTTGGGGTCACAGTGACCTTTGACCCTTTAATTTTATTCAGTTAATGCTTCACTCAAAGTGGACGTTGGTGACAAATTTGTGGAAACTCCCTTAAGGCCTTCTTAAGATATCGCATTCATGAGAATGAGACGAACACAAGGTTGCAGAAACCTTTAACCCATTGCCACCAAATTCTAATCAGTTCATTGTTAAGTCCAAGTGGACGTTTGTGCCAAATCTGAATACGGAAATGCGACGGTTGGGGTCACAGTGACCTTTGACCCTTTAGTTAATGCTTCAGTCAAAGTGGACATTGGTGACAAATTTGTGGAAACTCCTTTAAGGCCTTTTTGGATAAAAATAATCACTTAAAAACCAAAGGCTGCTAAAGTCTGAGTCTCTAGTCGAGAGCAGAGGTTTGTTTTTCCATCTCCAGCTGACTGAGCATCAGTTTTCTAAACCAAAGCAGAGAATCTACACATCTCTTCTTCTTCTTCTGTTTATTCCACACAAACCAAACTGTTCCTCTGACTTCAACGCCCCCCCCCCCGCTCCATGTGACGCACAGTGTTGCCTCAAAACCAACTGCTGCACAATGGAAATGCAAATGTAACTGTTTCTAAAGCGCAGAGGGCCTATTGTCAGGGGACACAGCTGCTCTGTCACACATATTCCACCGCTCACTGCCTGGATATACGAGCCCGACCGAGGCCGAGGTCATTCAGGAAGGAAACACACAACATGAAACTGAAACACAGCTGACCCACTTGGCCACAAGTACGTCTGTCATCAGGAGAATCTGAACACTTTGTGTTTAAATCAGAACTTCACCAACAGTGATTTTTGCTCTGCACTCCGCGAACACACAGGAGAGATTACATCAGCTGTGTCACACAATATTAGCTTGCTTCACCTCAACTGTGGCTATCTTTTGGTAGCTTGAGGCTGTTTTCCAGCTGCTTTCATGGCTCCAAATGTGGGTGTTTTTTTAGGACCCACTGGCTGGATTTCCAGAGTTTTTTAGGCACTAGACCTGAGCGGTTTTAAGGAAACCCTCGTTTTTCCAGCAGCTTTTTAGGCCCCAAACATGGGTGTTTCCTAACAACCTGTGGGTGTTTTTTCAGCAGCTTTTTAGAAACTAAATAAGGTGTTTTATAGGGACACATTCCTGTTCTTGCAGCAGCTTTTAAGGCTCCAATCATGGGTGTTTTTTAGGGACGTGTGGCAGTTGTAGCGGATTTTTAGGCACAAACAGTCGGTGTTTTCCAACAGTCTGTGGTTTTTTTTTTTTACGTTGGCTTTTAAGGCACTAAACGTAGGTTTTTTATAGGGACCCATTCCTGTTTTTGCAGCGGCTTTTTGGGGCACCAAATGTGGGTGTTTTTTGTGGGCGCAGTAGCTGTTTTTCCAGCAGCTTTAGGCTCCAAACATGGGTGTTTCCTAACAAGCTGTGGGTGTTTTTCCAGCAGATGTTTAGGAACTAAATAAGGTGTTTTATAGGGACACGTTCCTGTTTTTCCAGCTGCTTTTAGGGCCCCAAACATGGATGTTTTCTAATTACCCGTACTTGTTTTGCAGCAGCTTTTAAGGCCCCAAATGTGGCTGTTATTTATGGACACATTCCTGTTTTTCCAGCAGCTTTTTCGAAACTAAATAAGGTGTTTTATAGGGACACATTCCTGTTTTTGCAGCTGCTTTTATGGCACTACACATGGGTTTTCTATAGAGACCCATGGCTGTTTTTTTCAGCGGCTTTTAAGGTTCCAAACATGGATATTTTCTAATGATCCGTACCTGTTTTTGCAGCAGCTTTTTAGTCACCAAATGTGGGTGTTTCCTAACGACCTGCGAGTATTTTTCGAGCAGCTTTTAACAAACTAAATAAGGTGTCTTCTATGGCACCAAATGTGAATGTTTCTATAGGGATCCATTGCTGTTTTTGCAGCAGCTTGTCAGGCCCCAAACATGTTTCCTAACAACCTGTGGGTGTTTTTCCAGCAGATGTTTAGAAACTAAATAAGGTGTTTTATAGGGACACATTCCTGTTTTTCCAGTGGATTTTTAGGCTCCAATCATGGGTGTTTTTAGCAACTCATGCCTGTTTTTCCAGCTGCTTTTATGGCACTACAGGTGGTTTTTTTATAGGGACCCATTGCTGTTTTTGCAGCAAATTTTATGGCTTCAAACATGGCTGGTTTTGCAACTAATTTTATGGCACCAAAGGTGGGTGGTTTTTAGGGACCCATGGATATTTTTCCAGCAGCTTTTTGGGGCACCAAACGTGGGTGTTTTTTGTGGGTGCAGTAGCTGTTTTTCCAGCAGGTTTTTAGGCCCCAAACATGGGTGTTTCCTAACAACCTGTGGGTGTTTTTTTTTTTTAGAAACTAAATAAGGTCAAGGACACATTCCTGTTTTTCCAGTAGATTTTTAGGCTCCAATCATGGGTGTTTTTAGCAACTCATGCCATGTTTCTCCAGCTGCTTTTATGGCACGAAATGTGGATGTTGTTTTAGGGATCCGTGGCTGTTTTTTTTAGCAGCCGTTTAGGCCCCAAATGCAGGTTTTTGGGTGTTTTGTGCCAACCTGTTGCTGTTTTTCCCGCCAATTTTAAGGCACCAATTTTGGGTGTTATTTTAGCAACTTGTGGCTGTTTTTCCAGCAGGTTTTTAGGCCATAAACGTAGGTGCTTTTTAGTGACCCATTGCTGTTTTTTCTGCTGCTTTTTAGCCACAAGGGTGTTTTTTAGGGAGCTGTCACTATTTTTCCACGATCCTTTCCTTACCATAACCAAGTGATGTTTGTGCCTAAACCTAATCAAATATTAACCAGGACATTGTTGCAATGTGAAGTTTGAAAGTATCCGCTACATAACAGTGTGCATCAACATATTTTCAGGTAAAATTAATCTTCAAAGATTCGGATAAAAAATTCCGAGCGATTAAGTGATTCATGAAGCAACAAAGTCACGCATACTCTATAATAACAGCTTCTCAAATGTGCAAGATTTGTTGCTTTAACTGTTTGTTTTCATTTTAAACTGATTATCTGAGTTTTGAACTAATGGTCGAACAAAGAAAGACATTTAAAGGTATCACGTTGGGTTAGGGGAACTTGTTCTGGGCATTTTTCGGACTAAATGATTAATTAATGAATAAAAAACTGCCACTGTAGTGAGAATATTTCAGCCTGTGAGTATTAATACTTGAAGAAGACGTACACAGTGTAAACCAGCTGCTTGCGTGTCTCTTAATAGAATGAATCGAAATGAGAAAACATGGTGACTTACCAGCTACCTCCAACTGTTTAAAGTTTGTGTGTAAATTCAAAGAGGACGCCTCCACCTCACTCTGCACCAGCCGACTCTTTCCAAAAAATGCAGGTCAGAAAGAAAGACGCGCTCTGACACTACAGCTCCCTCTGGTCTCACAGAGACGAGCGCTGAGGAATCTGGGAGCTCCATGACAGAAGATCTGCCTCCTCCTCCTCCTCCTCCTCCTCCCAGTATGAACACAAACACACTCCACCTTGTGCTGCGGAGGAGATTTTCTCAGGGATTATAAAGGGGGATTTGAGTTGAGGGGGAGGAGTCATTGTCCTGCGCGGCGTCCTTGCTGTGATCTAGTGTTTGGGCTCTAAGTTGCTGCCTGCAGAGCCGCCGGGGCTGCTGGGAAAGTAAAATGAACGGGACTGGAAAACAACAACAGCTCCCAGTTTGTTACACGGTACACAGATAAAAGATTCGGGTCAAAAGTGCAGCACGACCATTTTCTGCTGCCAGAGACCAGTGTGCCTGGAAACAAGGCTGGACTGTTGGAGACAGCTGTGATGTAGCGAGTCATCACCGTGTTTCCAGCTGATTTATAGTCCCCAGATGTGAGTGTTTTTAGGGACGTGTTGCTGCAGGGATGGTGCCATGAAAAGTGTTTGATTTCTACTGAGTCATCGCTGCGTTTCCTGCCAGATAAATTTTTTTTTACCAAGATATTGTTACTTTTCCTTCCAGTATAGTGCCACGAAAAGCACTTGTTTCTACCGAGACATTGCTGCGTTTCCTACAGTGCCACAAAAAGCACTTGGATTTTCCTGAGACATCCTGCTGGCATAGCCGCATGAAAAGCGGTTGTTTTTTATACATCAATCGCTGTGTTTTCCGCTGTGATAGTGGCAGGAAAAGTGGTTGTTTTTTGGCGAGACATTGCTGCGTTTCCTGTCAGGATAGTCCCACAAAAAACGTTTCTTTTTACCCATGACATCACTGCCAGGACAGAAGCATGAAAAGCGGTTGTCTTTAACTGAGACATCGATGCATTTCCAAGAAAGCGGCATGAAAAGCAGTTGTTTGTTACTGAGACATTGCTGTGTTTCCTGCCAGGATAGTGCCACAAAAAATCTTTCTTTTTACCCAACACATCACTGTGTTTCCTGCTGGAATTGTGGCATGAAAAGCAGTTGTTTTTGGGCGACACATTGCAGCATTTCCTGCCAGGACAGAAGCATGAAAAGCCGTTGTCTTTGACTGAGACATCGATGCGTTTCCTGCCAGAGGAGCAGCATGAAAAGCAACTGTTTGTTACGAAGACATTACAGCATTTCCAAGAAAGCAGCATGAAAAGCAGTTGTTTGTTACTGAGATATTGCTGCGTTTCCTGCCTGGAAAATGCCACAAAAAACGTTTCTTTTTACCCAACACGTCACTGTGTTTCCTGCTGGAATTATGGCATGAAAAGCAGTTGTTTTGTACGAACACATTGTTGCATTTCCTGCTGTGATAGTGGCATGAAAAGCAGTTTTTTTTTTTACAGATCGATCGCTGGGTTTCCTGTCAGGATAGTGCCACAAAAAACGTTTCTTTTTACCCAACACGTCACTGTGTTTCCTGCTGGCATAGCCGCATGAAAAGCAGTTGTTTCTTACAGATCGAAGGCTCTGTTTTCCTGCTATGATAGTGGCACGAAAAGCGGTTGTTCCTACCGAGACATTGCTGCGTTTCCTATAGTGCCACAAAAAGCAACTGGATTTTGCTGAGACATCCCTGTGTTTCCTGCTGGCATAGCCGCATGAAAAGCAGTTGTTTTTTACAGAGACATTGCTGCGTTTCCTGCCAGGACAGAAGCACGAAAAGCGTTTGTCTTTAACTGAGACATCGATGGATTTCCTGCCAAGGGGAGCGGCATGAAAAGCAGTTATTTTTTACAGATCAATGGCTGTGTTTCCTGCCAGGATAGTGACATGAAAATCTGTGTCTCTTACTTAGACATCNTTACTGAGATATTGTTGCATTTCCTGCTGGCATAGCTGCATGAAAAGCGGTTGTTTGTTACTGAGATATTGTTGCATTTCCTGCTGGCATAGCTGCATGAAAAGCGGTTGTTTGTTACTGAGATATTGTTGCATTTCCTGCTGGCATAGCTGCATGAAAAGCGGTTGTTTGTTACTGAGATATTGTTGCATTTCCTGCTGGCATAGCTGCATGAAAAGCGGTTGTTTGTTACTGAGATATTGTTGCATTTCCTGCTGGCATAGCTGCATGAAAAGCGGTTGTTTGTTACTGAGATATTGTTGCATTTCCTGCTGGCATAGCTGCATGAAAAGCGGTTGTTTGTTACTGAGATATTGTTGCATTTCCTGCTGGCATAGCTGCATGAAAAGCGGTTGTTTGTTACTGAGATATTGTTGCATTTCCTGCTGGCATAGCTGCATGAAAAGCGGTTGTTTCTACTGAGACATTGCTGCGTTTCCGGCCAGGATAGTGCCACAAAAAGCAATTATTTTGTACAAACACATTAATGTGGTTCCTGCCCACACAGTTGTTTTCTTAAACAAGATACTGCTGCATTTCCAGGAGGGATTGTGCCCCGAAAACTTGGCATTTTCAGCCGAAACATGAACCTTTCCAGCAATAACCAAGTCGTTTTTGTGCCTAAACATAATCACAAATCACACAGTGTTGCTGAAATATGAAGTTTTGAGGTTTATGTGCAGAAATGCGATCGTTTTTCACTGAGTCATCGCGGCGTTTACTGCTGGCATAGCAGCATGAAATGCTTTTCCTTATCGAGACACTGCTGTGTTTCCAGCAGGTATTTCAAGCCGAAACATTATTATTTTCTAACCTAAACATAAGTTCACCAGCTAACATTTGGTACGCTGGGAATCTTTGGTCACTGAGAGTTGACTCAACAATCTGCCCGTATCAAAGTGTGCTGCCAGTTTGGTTCCGACTAAAAAAAAGGTGCTGATCTTGGTCTCAGGAGGAAAAACAGAGAGAGGATATTAAAGTTTTAACTTCCTTTAAAGTCGGACTTTGCAGCCAAATCTCAACCTCGATGTCTCAGTGTCTGTTTCAGAGATCTGATGTCACATTTTGTCTTCTCACACTTGATTCAGGAGCCACAATTACTGGTTTGGCCCTGTTATCAGCCTGGTATCTGATCCTTCTGTTCTCCGCACATTCCATCACGACTCCACGTTTCACAACCCTGTTTTTCTGCTGAAGATCGACTTCAGTGTCCTTGTCAGGAAACACAGCGCAGACAGGAATGTTTGGCGCGGGCCCACGTCTGTTTTGAGAGATACCAGCCAACGTCAGGCCGACAGGGGAGGAGGAGGGAGGCCGGCACGGAGAGGTGAAACTCCTCCGCCAGGGAGGAGACGCTGCTGACTGTTTAAATATAAATCATGTGTGTTTGAAGAGGAGTCACTGAGTCAAGGCGTGACTTCACTCCTCCGTTAACTGACTTTAAATCACCTTAAATGTTCACTGAGGAACTCTCAACAACGCAAACAAACCACCGTCCTGCAGAACACAAGTGATGTCAGCACCAAACTCAGATGGGAGAAACCCAACCAGCAGCAGCAGCTGAGGGGCCGACGTGACCCTGCCGAGCTCCAAACACGAGCACACAATAGAAAGTGCCGGCGTCATCACAGCTGGGCTTATCGGTGCGTCACCGCTGCACCGGCGACAAAAAACACCCCGAGAGGAGGAGAGGAAAATGTGTCACACCTAAGGCCTCACAAATTCATACTTAAGACGACTAAGTGACTTTAGAGACCTGGGGCCAGTTGCATAAAACACCTTAAGTTAAAAGTCCTTGTTAAGGTTTCCTCGAAATAAAGTAAGTCTTAAGTCTTCTTCTTAAGGTTTCCGTAAAGTATTTCTGGTTTTCTCCTTGTCTTAGTCTTATACTTAAGGAATCCTTAGACCACTGCACAAAAGACCTTATGTTAAAAGTCCTTGTTAAGGTTCCCTCAAAATAAAATAAGTCCTCTTCTTAAGGTTTCCTTCAAGTGTTCACTTAAGTATTTATGGTATTCTCCTTGTCTTGGTCTTATACTTAAGGAATCCTTAGACCGTTGCACAAAACACCTTAAGTTACAAGTCCTTGTTAAGGTTCCCTCGAAATAAAATAAGTCCTCTTCTTAAGGTTTCCTTAAAGTGTTCACTTAAGTATTTATGGTATTCTCCTTGTCTTGGACTTATACTTAAGGAATCCTTAGACCGTTGCACAAAACACCTTAAGTTACAAGTCCTTGTTAAGGTTCCCTCGAAATAAAATAAGTCCTCTTCTTAAGGTTTCCTTAAAGTGTTCACTTAAGTATTTATGGTATTCTCCTTGTCTTGGACTTATACTTAAGGAATCCTTAGACCGTTGCACAAAACACCTTAAGTTACAAGTCCTTGTTAAGGTTCCCTCGAAATAAAATAAGTCCTCTTCTTAAGGTTTCCTTAAAGTGTTCACTTAAGTATTTATGGTATTCTCCTTGTCTTGGACTTATACTTAAGGAATCCTTAGACCGTTGCACAAAACACCTTAAGTTACAAGTCCTTGTTAAGGTTCCCTCGAAATAAAATAAGTCCTCTTCTTAAGGTTTCCTTAAAGTGTTCACTTAAGTATTTATGGTATTCTCCTTGTCTTGGTCTTATACTTAAGGAATCCTTAGACCACGGCACAAAAGACCTTAGCAACCAAAGCAAGGTAAAGGTTAAAAAAAACAAACGTAAGGTCCCTCTGACTCTGTCTTAACTGCAACATGACCAAGTTTATGGTGATGAATGAAAAACTAAGACTAAAACCCCTCAGCTAAGGGGAAATTAATCCTTAAGTGTCATAGTTAAGGAGAAAATTGATTTTTGTGGTGATGATGTGATCTAAGGGCAGATTTTAAGATTTTTAAAGGGTTTCTCAGGATTGTGACACAGCAACAATATTCAAAAAATGCTTATTTTCCCATTAAAAGCTGCTTTAACTTTAAGGGGAAAAATCTTGCACATATATCTCATGACTCAAAGTGAGTTTTGATGCCTTTTTGAGTCTAGATGCCAAAAACAATGAAGATTTAAGACATTTAAAATAATTCTCTTCATGCTTTCTCGCCTATGAATCTTTGTTCTCGGGCACAAATGTCGGTCATGCATCTTAAAAACTTAACAAAGGGTTAAATAACACTTGTTGCTTGTGGACGCTGACATGAATCACTGCGGGAACCTGTGACAAAGCATCTCCAAAGACTTCACTTTACCTGCTCTAACGTCCGCACATCCACGCTCAGGCTCCAGAAACTCCTCAGGACTTGAACAACAGTGTCTTTGCACATTTACAGCTCGTCCTTTATGAAACATAAAGTGTCTCTGAACCTGTGTGAGTCATCCTGATGAAGGAAACCTGCCGTTATCTCAGACTCTCCTGATCTAATCCCACCGGTCAGGACACCAAATGATTGAATCAGAGGTAAAGAGAGGAAGACAGACAGAGGAAGAGGAGGAGGGAAACAGGAAGTACCTGAGAGTGTAAATCTTCTCTTGTCTCCTCTACAAGTCAAACATGTCCAGAGCGAGGCAGCAGCAGCAGCAGGAGCGCCCACTCTGTCTCCAAAGCCCCTGCAAACAATGAGCTCTGCTGATACGGCCTATCCCACTAAGCACTGTGGACTCACCTAGGCAACATGGGCCGTACCACTCCTCCTGCAAACAGGGGAGGGCGCCTGAGCTGAGGCAACTCTGAAGGCGACTCAGCGACCTCTCAGAGCTGCTGTTCAGTTGTCCTCTCTCAGCGGGACCCTGGTGTTCGCTCTGTGGAGCCCTCAGACGAACAGTCCCCCAGCAGCAGCAGCAGCAGGTCGCTGAAACACACGGTACGCTCCACCTCTCCCTCCTGGCGACTCGACCCACTCTGCAAAGCTTAGCCCACGCCTGTGGCTTTGCAGCTAGTAATTGGATTCAGGCTCTAAGACTCGGTTGCCATTTGTCAGTGAGCATGTAATTCTGACAGGACAGGACATCAGTGACACATGTAGTGCGACAACAGGTTGTTCCTGCGCAGAGGCCCGAGATAAACAAACAACAAACTTTGTTTACGATCTGTCCTCCTGGTTAAAGCTCGAGTTGATGAGTTTATATCATTGGACTGGAGAGAATGTGTTGATGATTCTGTTTTTATTTAACCTCAATGTAAAAATGTGAAAGTGTGAATATATCTTGTTACAACATGAATATATCTCGTAAAAATGTTAAATTATCTTGTTACAACATGAATATATCTCATATAAATGTAAAACTATCTTGTTACAACATGAATATATCTCGTAAAAATGTAAAACTGTCTCGTTAAAGCGTGAATATATCTCGTATAAATGTAAAATTATCTTGTTACAACATGAATATATCTCATATAAATGTAAAACTATCTTGTTACAACATGAATATATCTCGTAAAAATGTAAAACTGTCTCGTTAAAGCGTGAATATATCTTGTATAAATGTAAAATTATCTTGTTACAACATGAATATATCTCATATAAATGTAAAACTATCTTGTTACAACATGAATATATCTCGTAAAAATGTAAAACTGTCTCGTTAAAGCGTGAATATATCTCGTATAAATGTAAAATTATCTTGTTACAACATGAATATATCTCATATAAATGTAAAACTATCTTGTTACAACATGAATATATCTCGTAAAAATGTAAAACTGTCTCGTTAAAGCGTGAATATATCTTGTATAAATGTAAAATTATCTTGTTACAACATGAATATATCTCATATAAATGTAAAACTATCTTGTTACAACATGAATATATCTCGTAAAAATGTAAAACTGTCTCGTTAAAGCGTGAATATATCTTGTATAAATGTAAAATTATCTTGTTACAACATGAATATATCATAAAAATGTAAAAATGTCTTGTTAAAGCGTGAATATATCTCGTAAAAATGTAAAATTATCTTGTTACAACATGAATATATCGTAAAAATGTAAAACTGTCTCCTTAAAGCATGAATATATCTCGTATAAATGTAAAATTATCTTGTTACAACATGAATATATCATAAAAATGTAAAAATGTCTCGTTAAAGTGTGAATACATCTCGTATAAATGTAAAATAATCTTGTTACAACATGAATACATCTCGTATAAATGTAAAAAATATCTCATAACAACATGAATATATATCGCAAAAATGTAAAAATGTCTCGTCTGGTTAAAGCTCGAGTTGATGAGTTTATATCAATGGATTGGAGAGAATGTGTTGATGGTTCTGTCTTTATTTAACCTCTTAAAACTCTTAATTTTCCCCTTAATTGCTGTGAATCATTTAAGGGCCCTGACACTTCAAGCCTAAGGTCGTTGGCCTGGCTAACTAGCGTCAAGACGTTCTTCCTGTTTCCCTGTTTGAGGCGCAGGTCAGGTACTCATGTTCCTGTCTCTAATCGTGGGGCCCTCTATATGCCATGAGGAACGTCTACTTTGGGGTGATGAAGGACTCTCCAATCCGCCCGGCGTTGGTCACCACTGGAACGCTCTGCCTGACAGCCGCAGTGATGTCACTCGTATCTCTCCTGTGGAGCCTGAGCTCGGTGGTGACCAATCAGACCATCAAGTTCCCGACAAAGATCTCCTCACTAAGAGTCTGTTACAGTTGAGTGTAACGGTGAGAATATTTGGTCCCACAGGACACAGACAGATAAACAGTAGGCCCAAGTGTCCACCAGGTGGAGCTACATCCACCAGAGGATCATGATGTGGACACACTGCTACAACATGTTTCAGATGACTAACACTGACATGCTGCTGCACATGGTGATACTCTAAAGGTTTATATGTATATATTCCTGTCTCCCAGTAGCACCAGTAGAGTGCTGCTGGCTGGAGGTGCTGGTGAGGTTTGGTGTGTCAGTGTGAGACCAGCTGACAGAGGGGACTCCTCGTGTCTCATTTAGGGCTCGTTATCTGCGCTCTGAAACAACAGTGTTGGCTGCAGCGCCACAATACAGCCTTTTGTTTCAGCCTGAGGGGCAAACAAGCAGCGAGGGGCCCCTGTGAGGCCATCAGCCTGGCCCCGCCTCAGAGGAGACACACACTTGGACTCAAAGATGAACCGCTCTCTGTTGCTAAATGACAAAAGGTAAAGTGTTCTGTACCTTCGGACCACCAGGGTCAGGGTCTTGTGGGAGCTCTTCACCAGGCAGATGGCCTCCTGACGGGAGCCGCTGAGGGGGACGGCGTTCACGCTCACCATTTCATCACCGGCCTGGAGACACACTGCCGCCGCCACACTGCCCTCCTCCACCTGAACACACACACACACACACACACACACACACACACATCAAAACCAAGTCACCACACACACAAAGTGCCTCCAGCTGCAGGAGATCTAATGGCCACTAGATGGCGTCTCCTGCCTCTACGCCAGGGCTTCATTTGTCTTTGATGACTGCTGTTTGTTGGAGGGTTATTTGTGTATGTGTGGACGTTCAGAGTCACAGCAAATCTTCTGCTGTTTTTCTAACGCCTGTTATAAAGTAGTGACAAATTATTTTCTTGCAGCAGCCTCTAAGTACAACAAGTACAACAGTGGTTTATGGTAAATAGATGAATAAAATAAAGAAATAGATAAATAAAATAAAATAAAATAAAATAAAATAAAATAACATAACATAAAACAAAATGAAATACAATAAAATAAAATAAAACAAAACAAAATAAAAATACAATAAAATGAAATGAAATGAAATAAAACAAAATTAAATTAAATCAAATATGATAAAAATGAAATAAAATGAAATAAAGCAAAAATAAAAATGAAATAAATAAATTGACATGAAATAAAATGAAATAAAATAAAATGAAATGGAATACAATAAAATAAAACAAAACAAAATAAAATGACATGAAATGTTAAAAAATAAAATGAAATATAAAAATAAAATAAAGTAAAAATAAAATAGAATAAAATAAAAAATACAATAAAATGAAATGAAATAAAATAAAATAAAACAAAATAAAATTAAATTAAATATGATAAAAAATGAAATAAAGTAAAATAAAAAAGAAATAAAATGAAATAGTATGAAATAAAATAAAGTGGAAAAAGAAATAAAATGAAATAAATAAACTGACATGAAATATTAAGAAATAAAATGAAATGAAATAAAGTAAAATAAAATGAAATATAATAAAACAAAACAGAATAAAAATGACATGAAATATTAAAAAATAAAATGAAATAAAATGAAATAAATAAAATGAAATGAAATAAGATAAAATAAAATGCAATGTAAAAATAAAATAAAGTAAAAATAAAATAGAATAGAATAAAATAAAATGAAATGAAACGAAATACATTAAAATAAAATAAAACAAAATAATATTCTCTGAGATTATAAAGTCATAAATTTGCAAGAAAAAACAGAAATTTTTTGTGAGTGTGTGTGTGCCAAGGAACCAAATCGCTTTACTTTGCAATGTTGGATCAAGTCCTTGTAAAAAAAAAAAAATTCTCGTTAATGTTTAAATTTCATCACAGAAATGATGATTATTTTTTAGCGTAAATTTATGGCTTTAATCTCAGACACTGAATTTTTTTTCTTGTAAATTTGTAAATACATGTGCAGTGAAGAAAAGAACCTTTACACTACAGTATGCTGTTAAAGTACACAAGTACATGGCACTATAATCAGATTCAAGTTTACTGCCTCGTGGGCTCTCACAGGCGTCAGGCGAGTATTTGTCCTGGTGTTTTGGTGCATGAACACAGACAGGGAAGAGAAAAAGCCGATAAAACAAACCAAACCACTGAGAGATAAAATATTCCCATAAAGGAGGAACAACAACAGTTTCTATCAGCCATCCTTTCAGGTGGGTGCTATTTCATCCTCAGGTGGTGGCTGCAACCTGAGAGCTCTGATTAATATTTAAAGCCTGTAACCTGAGGTAGATGGAGGTGCACTGCTCCATGTGAGAGTCCGCACTGACAGGAGGTGGAGGAGGCTGCAGGTACACACTGAATACACAGGGTCGAACCCTTGAGTTCTCTTGACCTTTAACCTTGCCGCTGCAGCTGACTGACCCAACTGGAGCGATGATATTAGAGTCCAAACTTTTACCCTCAAGTGTAAAACCTTGCACACTGGTGACGTCCAGTTTAAAAGCAGAGCTGCAGGGATGATTTGTTTCTCTGGGCCGTCCAATGATGCATTTAATACTTAAGTTTCCAACTGGTTCATTTCACTATTTTTCCAACATGAAAGCAGATGTTCTCTGCTCCCAGCTCCTGTAACGTGAGGCTCTGAAGCTTCTCTTTATGTGACAGTAAATGGTGCTGGCATGAAACCATGTCTCACCTTGGTGATGACCAGAGGCTCTCTGTGCTCGCTGCCTCCCCTCAGGGTGAAGCCCCAGGGTGCTTTGCCTCGGAGCAGCACCTCCACCAGCTCCTCCTCCTCTCCCTCTCTCCTCTGCTGCTCGCTGCCTGTCCACATGTCCACCTCCCTCCACCACCTCATCCTTCCTGCTGACACTCTCAGGTGCTGTCTGCAGTCCATGGCGTCCATGTTGCCTCCTGGTCAGTGGGCTCCATCAACATCAGCTCACTATGAAACAGTCAATAATATAACAATAATTATAATATAGTTTATTTTGTTGTACAAAAATTCTTGCTTTAAAGTGAAAACATCCTGTTATAACATGAAAATATCTCGTAAAAATGGGGAAGTGTCTCATTAAAGCGTGAATATATCTCGCCAAAATGTAAAAATATCTCATTATAACATGAATATATCTCGTAAAACTGTCAGAATGTCTCTTTAAAGCGTGAATATATTCATGTTGTAATGAGATATTTTTACAAGATATATTCATGTTAAAATAAGATATTTTTACATTTTGTCGAGATATATTCACGCTTTAACGAGACATTTTTACATTTTTACAAGATCTCATAAAAAAATTCAAAAATGTCTTGTAAAAGCATGAATATATCTTGTAAAAATGTAAAAAAAAATAATCTCATTATAACATGGATATATCTTGTACAAATGTGAAAATGTCTCATCAAAGCGTGAATATATCTCGACAAAATGAAAAAAAAAATCTCATTATAACATGAATATATCTTGTACAAATGTAAAAACGTCTCATTAAAGCGTGAATATATCTCGACACAATGGAAAAAAAATCTCATTAAAACATGAATATATCTTGTACAAATGTAAAAATGTCTCATTAAAGTGTGAATATATCTCGACAAAATGAAAAAATATCTCATTATAACATGAATATATCTAGTACAAATGTAAAAATGTCTCGTTAAAGCGTGAATATATCTCGACAAAATAAAAAAAATCTCATTATAACATGAATATATCTTGTAAAAATGTAAAAATCTCATTACAACATGAATATATCTTGTACAAATGTAAAAATGATCTTGTTACAACATTAACATATATTGCAAAAATGAAAAAATATCTCATTATAACATGAATATATCTTATAAAAAAATGTCAGAATGTCTCTTTAAAGTGTGAATATATTCATGTTGTAATAAGATATATTTTTTAAAAAAAATTACGAGATATATTCATGTTATAATGAGATATTTATACATTTTGTCGAGATATATTCACGCTTTAACGAGACATTTTTAAATCATTAAAGCGTGAATATATCTCGACAAAATCTAAAAATATCTCATTAAAACATGAATATATCTTGCAAAAATGTAAAAATATTTTCACAAAATATCTTTAGCTTTTGGACTGTTGGTTGGACAATAAATTCTATCTGAATATTTCAACTTTTAATATTTTATCATTTTTAATAGATAAAAAAAGAAAAAAGATATTAAGCAAGAAAATAATTGAAAGATAATGAATAATGAAAACAATCTTTAGCTGCAGCTACAGAGGCATTTAACATGCATAAGAGAAGATCTTCTTTTAATTTGGCTTTTAATAATTCATTTATATGTTTAGTATGTAATTATTGTTGTATCCAGCCTGAAGAATTACAACTTATTTAAATTCACCTGAAACACTTTCAAATTAAGTTAAATTAACTTTATGAGGCTGTAAAATACAAACATCGTCATGTAGCTGTCACAGAACATGCAGCAGATAATTATAACTCCTCAGCTCCTCTTACTGACCTGAAGACGCTCCTCGAACAGGACAAACACACGGTGACGTGTCTCCAGCAGGTGTCTCGCGCTCTGTCTTAATTGATATGTTAATCATAATAACTTAATTTACCTCGTGTCTCTGACGGTCCAACAGCACCCTGCAGCTCCCTGACACCTCCGTCTGTTCTCCACCTTCATCACTTCATCACTTCGTCATCTCGTCTGCAATCAGTGATGTCACCGCGCCACCTGGCGGCCACGTGCGGCGCCGCTGAGTGGGCTATGTGGTGCCTTTCTTTCTTTCTTTCTTTCTTTCTTTCTTTCTTTCTTTCTTTCTTTCTTCCCTCAGCTGTGATATTGGGCTTTATAAATAATATTGATTGATTGAAACACTGCATGTTTGCATGTTTAGGTGCAGAAGAAAAGACCAGAAGGTAAATAATGTGTTTTATGTCTCTGCAGGGGCGAATATTGTCTATTGTGTATTGTCATTGTCTTTTTGGTGGTTGTAAGACATCAAGGAGTGTTCGTAAGCTTCTATTTAATTATTTTATAGTATCAGGAATAATAGAGAGAAATTATTCTATTTTTATTTTATTTTTTAATTGAATTGAATTGAATTGAATTGAATTGAATTGAATTGAATTTAATTGAATTTAATTTAATTTAATAATTGTTGTGCCTGCTGCTCCACATCCAGCACGCTAGGTAGCGGTAACGCGCCTGAAAGCCGGTTTGCCAGCCGCCATTCAACTGAAAGGAGAAGCGCGGTGCATTGTGGGGGGGATCCTCTCTGACGCTCTCTGCTGTTTATTTCTTGACAGTTAACGCGTCATTTCTCGTTATCAAAACGCTAAAATGCAAAACAGCGTCGACGTTAAATAAGTTTTCGATTCAAACAGAGACGTTTCCGGCCGCAGCCGTCAGGACGGACTTCAAGATGGAGGCCGGTGAAGGTAACAGACGACTTTATCCAGCTAGCTTAGCCACAGGATGCTAACGCTACAGCTAACAGCTGCTGACGTAAATAAACGTGTGTCTGTGGTCTTTACCGTGACAGCGCTCCTCTGTGGATCCACCCACAGCTATAATGATGTTAGCTAAACCTCAGTCTCCACGAAGACACGAGAAACAAAGCAGACACGCGCGAGCAGCGGAGAGTTTAACCCTCTGAGAGCCGCAGACTGGAGACACATTAGTGTCTGAGGGGAGGGGACACGGGGTCTTTATGGACACACAGCAGGTCCACAGTGTGTGTCACATAGAGGTAGTTACATCACCTGAAAGCTGGACACCTGAGGATTAATTTAAGATGCAGCTCAGTGCTGTGGGTCATTGTTTCCCGTCATGCATCTGTAATAAACACTGTGTTTTGGTGTCAGTGTGTCTCCAGGTTGTGTCTGTAAAGTTTCACACTCATTTCATTCAGGTATCTTGAGGCCCTCACCAGGAAGCCAGCACAACATGGCTGGGGTGGATGGATTCCTGAGGTCCTCTAGTTTCATGTGATCCCAGTATCTTCTCTGTAGCTTTAAACCTCAGCCACCTACAGCCTCTGAAAGTCAGGGGTGGGACCGGGCAGGTGTTCAGCAGTGTGACCATGTGCTCCTGTCTGCCAGGTGTCAGCAGCGCCACGCCCACCGAGGAGATGAACGGCGCTGGAAACTTGATGGATTTCCTGGACGAGCCTTTTCCTGACGTGGGCACGTACGAAGACTTCCACACCATCGACTGGCTGAGGGAGAAGTCCAGAGACACGGACCGCCACCGCAAGGTTTGACCCGGTTTGACCTGGTTTGATATGAGTGCTGATGTTTGAAGAGTGGTTCATTAAGTCTTTAATTATCTGCTCGTCGTCCGTCCAACAGATCACCAGTAAGAGTAAAGAGTCCATCTGGGAGCTGATCAAGAGTCTGCTGGACGCCTGGTCAGGATGGGTGGTGATGCTGCTCATCGGGCTGCTCTCAGGTCAGTCAGGACCAAACTGATCCACGTCTGATCTCATCACGCTCAAGTTTCATCATTATTCAGCACAAATTAGTTGTTGTCTCATAATGTCGCCTTTTCGTCTGATAATTGTGACGTGTGGTGCGTCCTGCAGGAACACTGGCCGGCGTGAAAATGTAAAAATTTCTGGTTAAAGCGTGAATATATCTCGCCAAAATGTAAAAATATCCCATAATAACATGAATATATTTCACAAAAATGTAGAATATCTTGTCACAACATGAATATATCTCACAAATGTACAAATATTTCTTTATAACATGAATATATCTCACAGATGTAAAAATATTTCGTTATAACATGAATATATCTCGTTAAAATGTAAGAATGTCTTGTTAAAGGGTGAATATATCTTGTAAAAATGTAAAACTATCTCATTATAACATGAATGTATCTTGCAAAAAATGTAAAATATCTTGTCAAAACATGAATATATCTCATACAAATGTAAAAATATTTCGTTATAACATGAATATATCTTGCAAAATGGAAAAATGTATCGTTAAAGTGTGAATATATCTCGTAAAAATGGAAAAAAAACCCCCCAAACCTCATAAAATGACTATAAAATAATAAAAAAATAAATAAATCTCATTATAACATGTACATATCTCGGGGGAAAAAAAAGGGGGAAAAAAAATCCCATTATAACATGGATATATCTTGCAAAAAAAGTAAAATATCTCATTATAACATGAATATATCTGGTAAAAAAGTAAAAAAAAACCCCAAACAAACATTATAACATGAATATATCTCGTGAAAAAAGTAAAAAAAAAATATCATTATAACATGAATATATCTTGTAAAAAAAGTTAAAAAAATATCATTATAACATGAATATATCTCGTAAAAAAAGGGTAAAAAAATTCTCATTATAACATGAATATATCTTGTAAAAAAAAAAAGGTAAAAATATCTCATTATAACATGAATAAATCTCGTAAAAAAAGGGGAGAAAAAAATCTCATTATAACATGAATATATCTCGTAAAAGGGGAAAAATATCTCATTATAACATGAATATATCTCGTAAAAATGTAACAACACAAAATGAGTTGTTGTCTCATAATGCCCCCTTTTCGTCTGATAATCGTGACGTGCGGTGCGTCCTGCAGGAACGCTGGCCGGCGTGATCGACCTGGCAGTGGACTGGATGACAGACCTGAAGGAGGGCGTGTGTCTGTCGGCGTTCTGGTACAGACAAGAGCAGTGCTGCTGGACGTCCAACGAGACCACCTTCGACGACCGAGACAAGTGTCCTCAGTGGCAGAAGTGGGCGGAGCTTATGACTGGCCACGCCGAGGTCAGACCAAAATATGACATCATCAGTTTGAGTTGACTTAATTAGTATCCTCTATCCTTCCTCCCTCTGTCCTTCCTCCCTCTGTCCTTCCTCCTTTCAGTTTTGTCCCTCCTTTCCTCCCTTCCTTCTTCCATCCTTCCTTTCTCTATCAATCATCCCTCCCTCCTTCTTCTTTCCTTTCTCCTCCCTTTTCCCTCATCTCTCCCTCCCTCCCCCCTTATTCCTTCCTCCCTCTCTCCTCTCTCCTTTGCCCCTTCTTTCCTCCCTTCCTCCTTCCATTCTTCCTTTCTCAATCATTAATCCCTCTCCTTCTCTCCTCTCTCCTTCTCTTTCCACTCTCTTTTTGTGAGGAATCCTTTATGTCAACAGGAAGTAGCAGAAACACGTGTGTGTGTGTCCAGAGGTCGTATGTTGTGACATCATCATGTTAACGTTAATGACGTCATAGTGACGGCGGTATATGATCGTCTCCTCTCAGGGGGCGGGGGCGTACGTGTTGAACTACTTCCTGTACATCCTGTGGGCGCTGCTGTTTTCCTTCCTGGCCGTGTCACTGGTTCGAGTCTTCGCTCCATACGCCTGCGGCTCAGGGATCCCAGAGGTGAGAGGTCAAACACAGTCGCCGCAGTGACATGTCTCGCCGCCACTCAGATAATAACGTCTGTGTTTGTGCGCAGATCAAGACGATCCTGAGCGGCTTCATCATCCGGGGCTACCTGGGGAAATGGACGCTGCTGATCAAGACAGTCACCCTGGTGCTGGCGGTGTCGTCGGGTCTCAGCCTGGGGAAGGAGGGTCCTCTGGTCCACGTGGCGTGTTGCTGCGGAAACCTGTTCTGCAGCCTCTTCTCAAAGTACAGCAAGAACGAGGGCAAACGCAGAGAGGTACGTGACGCCAGGATGAATCTCACAGTGTGTGGAGGCTTCACGATTTATTGTTTCCTATTAAAGTCAATCAAAGCTTCGTCTCCACGGAGGGACATGGGTTCATAAACATCGGTGTCTAAATTTGTATCTTGCTTGAAAAGGTATCGATACATCGAACATTGTCGTTATTTCGCCAATTTGTTTTTTTGATTTACATTATTTACCTTTTTTATAATTCCTCATTTAAATAATTAAATGTACTTTAATTGTTCTCTTATGTTCTTGTTTAATTTTCCAATATTTTAGTTATTTGTGTATTTAATTTTTATTTTTATTATTATTATGTTTTTATTTATTTTAATCATATTCAAAACTTGTATATTTTTGCAATTATTTCTAATTTATTAATTTTTTGTCTGTTTTAATTTAATGTAATTCTTTTGAATTTAATAATTAATTGATTTTAATTAATTATTATTGCATTTCTTTCTTTCTTTTTTTTTTATTAGCATTTTCCCTCTAATTTTTTTCTCAGATTTATTTCTTACCACAGGTAAATAAATTAAAAAGTAGACTCAAACAGAAATACATTTTATAAATTAATCAATGGCTGCATTTTTTTTTTAAATTATGTTTGGTTCATTGGAGTCATTTATTTGTTTTATATATATATGTGTGTGTGTGTATATATGTATGTATATATATATATACACACACACACATTTTTTTTTAAATTGATGTATTTACGCGTTTATTTTTTTCATTTATTAATTTGTGTATTATTTTCCCGATATATCTATATTATATTATAATTTTAATAGTAATATTATTGATAGATTTAACTTGATTAATTATTTATTTTAACAATTTTAAAAATTTGTATATTTTTGCTATTACTTCTAATTTATTTTAAATTATTTGTATTAATTGTATTAATTCTTTTAAATTTAATAATTAACTGATTTTAATTAATTATTATTGCATTCTTTAAAATATATATATTTTTTATTTGTTAGCATTTGTCCCCTAAATTTTTTCTTAAATTTATTTACTACCAAAGGTAAACAAATTAAAAAATAGACTAAAACAAAAATATCAATTTATGTTCCATTTTATAAATTAATCAATGGCTGCATTTATTTTTAAAATTATGTTTGGTACATTTAACATCATATTGATTTAATAATTAGAGTCATTTATTTGTTTTTTTGTATATTTACATTTATTTTTAAATTTATTTCTTTTTTTTTTTCATTTATTAATTTGTGTATTATTTTCCTGATATATCGCCCAGCCCTCATAACCACGTGTGTCGACGAGGATGTCTGAAATACCTGTCGAGTGGTTTCACTAGCAGACGGTCAGGAAACACTTCTGACGCTGACCTCTGACCTTTCAGGTGTTATCAGCTGCAGCAGCAGCCGGCGTGTCGGTGGCCTTTGGAGCACCTATTGGAGGAGTTCTGTTCAGCCTGGAAGAGGTTTGTTAGAAATCACCTGCTGTGTGTGTGTGTGTGTGTGTGTGTGTGTGTGTGCGCGCGACCTGTGATCTTGTCTGTCACAATACCTGCTGGTGTCGGACGATACATCGCCACAGAGATGATCATGATGAATGATGTCATTGTCATTTAAGCCCGTTTTATATTGTGCTCTGACGACCCGTCTCTCTGCAGGTCAGTTACTACTTCCCTCTGAAGACTCTGTGGCGCTCCTTCTTCGCCGCCCTGGTCGCGGCCTTCACGCTGCGCTCCATCAACCCGTTTGGCAACAGCCGCCTGGTACTGTTCTATGTGGAGTACCACACGCCGTGGTACATGGCCGAGCTGGTGCCGTTCATCCTGCTGGGCGTGTTCGGCGGCCTCTGGGGGACGCTCTTCATCCGGGCCAACATCGCCTGGTGCCGGCGCAGGAAGACCACCCAGCTGGGGAAGTACCCGGTGCTGGAGGTCATCGCCGTGACGGGGATCACCGCCGTGCTGGCGTACCCTAACCCGTATACCCGCCGCAGCACCAGTGAGCTCATCTCGGAGCTCTTCAACGACTGCGGCGCGCTGGAGTCGTCGCAGCTCTGCGATTACATCAACAACCCCAACATGAGTCGGCCGGTGGACGACATCCCAGACCGACCGGCGGGGCCTGGGGTCTACAACGCCCTGTGGCAGCTCGCCCTCGCTCTCGTCTTCAAGATCGTCATCACCATCTTCACCTTCGGCATGAAGGTCAGGACGAGGAGCACGTCTCTGCGTCAACAGAACAATGATGTCACACGTGTGGTTAAAATCTGACGTCCCTCTCGTCTCCGTTTCCTCTCCAGATCCCGTCAGGTCTCTTCATCCCCAGCATGGCGGTGGGAGCCATCGCAGGACGCATCGTGGGGATCGCCGTGGAGCAGATGGCGTACCACCACCACGACTGGATCATCTTCAAGAACTGGTGCCGGCCCGGCGCCGACTGTGTCACACCTGGACTGTACGCCATGGTGGGCGCCGCCGCCTGTATGGGTGAGTTTAAACTGTTCACAGCTGATGATGTCAAAAATGTTGGTGTGCTGATTTCCAATAACTTGTTGACGATAAGTGATTGCGTCCGTTCAGGCGGCGTGACCAGGATGACCGTGTCCCTGGTGGTCATCATGTTCGAGCTCACGGGCGGGTTGGAGTACATCGTCCCCCTGATGGCTGCCGCCGTCACCAGCAAGTGGGTGGCGGACGCCTTCGGGAAGGAGGGCATCTACGAGTCGCACATCCAGCTCAACGGGTACCCGTACCTGGACGTCAGGGACGAGTTCACCCACCGCACCCTCGCCACGGATGTGATGCGGCCCCGCAGGAACGACCCCCCTCTGGCCGTCCTCACGCAGGACACCACCACGGTGGAGGACGTGGAGACGCTGATCAAAGACACCGACTATAACGGGTTCCCTGTGGTCGTGTCCAGAGAGTCGGAGAGGCTCATCGGCTTCGTTCAGCGCCGTGACCTCACCCTCGCCATCAGTAAGTCGGTTAAACCTGTTCAGCTCTGACGGCGCTCAGCTCGACTGTCATCAGGGCGCAGATTCATTTCCCAAGACGTTTTAACAGACTCCTCCCCTTCCTCTCCATCCACAGAGAACGCCCGTCAGAAGCAGGACGGCGTGGTGAGCAGCTCTGTGGTTTACTTCACTGAGGACGCGCCGCAGCTGCCGGCCAGCAACCCGCAGCCGCTGAAGCTGCGCCGCATCCTGAACCTCAGCCCCTTCACCGTCACCGACCACACGCCCATGGAGACGGTGGTGGACATCTTCCGCAAGCTGGGCCTCCGCCAGTGTCTCGTCACCAGGAGCGGGTAAGAACAACAATGTAGTGTCGTTGTTGTTGTTGAATAAACTCAAAATATGGTGATTTAAATGTAAATGAAAATTTCACCAGTAAACATTTGTAGGCAAAGGATGGAAACATTTATTGATCTAAAACCATTTGTTTGTTTCATTATTTCATTATTTAAAATGCCAGAAAATAGTAAAAGACCTGAGGTGTATGGAAAACGCCAAAATAAGAAAAAATATTAATCACTAAATAAATAAATTAAAATGCCATTAAATGTTCCAGAAATATTAAAAATAAATGTTTGCATAATTAATTGATAAATGTGACATAAATTAGCTTTATTATTTGTAATTCTTTATTTAAATTAATTAAATAAAATGTTTTGTTGTTGTTCTTTTACTTTTCTCTTTAATTTTACCATTTATTTAATTAATTTTTGTTATTATATTCAACTTAATTATTTATTTTTATTCATTTTTCACATTTATATATTTTTGCCTTTTTCTTTTTTCTTTTAAATTATTTTTGTATTAGTTCTTTTAAATGTGATGAATAATTTTAATTAATTTTTAAATATATTTCTTTTGCATTCTTATTTATTTTTTCAAATGTATTTATTAGCAAAGGTTAATAGATTAAAAAGTAAATTAAAACATAAATATTAATTTATGGCACATTTTATCACTTCGTTAATCCTTACATTTATTTTCAATACTATTGTTTATACATTAAGTGTTATATTATTTTATTTATAATGTAATTTATTCATTTTTATTTATTTAAATTGATGTTATTAATTCATTCATATATATGATTTAAACATTTCGTCAGTTAGTTAATGCCTACATTTATGTTTAATATTATTTGTGGAACATTTGATTGTTATTAATTTATTCATGAAGTCATTTATTTGATTCTATTTATTTTAAATGTATTTATTTGTGCAATATATTATTTCTTAGTTTTTCTAAATTTATTTATATATGTATTTATTCTCATATTATTTTCCCTTAATTATGACCAAAGATAAATGAATTAAAAAGCAAATTATCACAGAAATATCAAATTTATGTCAAATGTTTTTTTTTTTTTTTTTTTAATTAACCTTTGAATGTATTTATTTCATATTTACTTCTTTTTGTCATGAACTGATCTTTGTATGATTTCATGTCTGTTCAGGCGCCTCCTGGGCATCATCACTAAGAAGGACGTCCTGCGCCACATGGCTCAGATGATGAACCAGGATCCAGAGTCCATCATGTTCAACTAGCAGACGAGAGACGTGCTTCACTCGTGCGACGGTGTAAATAGGTGAAAGTGTTGCGACGCTACTGTACTGCAACCTGTGATTAATAAGCCCCTCCCACCTCCTGACAGGCAAGTCCTCACCCACCTGTAGTGACCACAGCTCCGCGTGTGCTCAGTGTGACTGCGCCGGAGGAACTGACTTCAGCTAAAATGTTCATGGCTTCAACATTTCAGACCCTCAGACCTTTTATTGTTCGCAGACTGAAAACAGAAAACAGAAAAAGTCTTTAATGCTTCTTTATGGAGGACGAAAAATTACTCGAGTATCAATGAATAAATAAATGTAGGAATAAAACCAGAAATAATTAAAGAAATATGGGAATAAATAAATAAAATAAGAAAAAATAAATAAATGCTGAAATAATTACAGAAATAAATGAATGCATGAATAAGTAAAACTTGATAATTTACATTTTAAAACAAAATTAATGAATTTAAAATGAATTATTATTTATTAAATTAATACATTTTACATTTACAAGTACAATTACATTTTGTAGTTTATTTTTTGTTGTCTTTTTATTTATTCTTTTATTGAGTTTATTTCTGTATTTATTTTGTATTTACTTCAGCATGTATTATTTTATTTATTAGTTTCCATATTTTTTTATTTATTTTTTCCTGTATTTACTTGTTTATTGATATTCTTTGTCCTCCATATTTCCTTACAATCATTTTCTGGCATGTTGTCATAGAAAAAACTGTAGAGCTGATCGGGAGGTTGAGTATCAATAAATACATAAATATATAAATAAAAAAAGAAATAATTAAATAAATGTGGAAATAAATACATTAAAGAATAAATAAATACCAAAATAAATAAATAAATAAATACAGTTGAAATTCTAAAAAATTAATGATTAAATTTATTTCTACATTTTTGTATGACTACGTTTAGTTGCTTATGTATTTTCCTGTTTTATTTATATTTTGCATTTGTTTATTTCTGTATTTATTTATTCTTTTACTTATTAATTATTCCTGTATTTATTAATTTATTGATACTTTTTTTCCTCCATATTTCCGTACTATCGTCATCAGAAAACACAGCGCATGTCTCTAACAGTGCGGAGAGTTTCGCTTCGTTAACGTTCAGAGTGCCAAACTCTGGTTCTTCAGTTTCAACAGTGTTGTGATCAACACTCACACTCGTTGGTTTAGTGCTGCTCGTTTAATTAACACATTTAGAAAGCCTGAAAGACTGATGAAGAAGTATTTACAACCTGAAGACGAAGTCGTGGTCAAGTGTGAGGACGTGTCAGTGAGTCGCTCTTGTAGGAAATTAATTTGACACTAATCACGTCTGGTCAAACAGAAACTGGACGTATGGAATATCATCTCAGTCAGAAAAAGGTGTGTTTGAAAATAACCTCACATCTCAAAAGAGGTGTAAGGGATTAATTATTAAAATTGTTGCCCATTCATTTTGAGTTTAAGGAAATAAATAGGAGGAAAATGCTAAGGGAAAATAATACATAAATAACTGACTCTATAAATAAATTGTTTGTACTTCAGAGATTTTTAAATATACGATACGATATATATTGTGTATCGCGATATAGCCTAAAAAATCACGATATATGTTGTGTATCGCGATATAGCCTAAAAAATTGCGACATTATTTTTGCGACCACTTCTACTGTAAAAACTGTCATAAAAATATTTTGCAGTTATAGAACAGATCTGCAAACACACAAATTCCAAAAATTAAGAAAAAGATTTCGTGTGCGTAAAATGCACATGCACAAACGTAGAATTGAGATTTAGAAATAAAAGCTGGATTCACAAATATCCTTTTGAAAATTGTAAATGTTTAAAAGATATTCTCAATTTTTTCTTATTTATTTGTTAATTGAATGTATTCAGATGTTTTTAACAGGTGGAATTTGTTTGTGTACGGAGGCAGATTTGTGACAATTGGTGTGTTAATGTGTAAATATAAAACAATGTCCACAAATACAAAAAAGATTCCTAAACTCACAATATTTTTTCGCAGTTATAAAACGAATGTGAAAACACATGAACAAAACATCAGCCGCTGTATCGGCCATCAATTTACTCATGCCAATATGTGAGTATCCCTAAAGAGGACCAAACTCTATTTCACACACACCTTTTTGTGAATGACATCATATTCTTGGTTTGGCCTCAAAATCTGCATTTAAGATGAAAATCAATGAAAAGTGCAGAATTTTGTTGAAATCTTTGAATCTTTTTTTTGTGATAAATGGTACTTTAAAACAATGGGACCACGACCATGAGCTCGAAGGTGTTTGAAGTTCAGCGTCACTGAACCCTGACGTGAAACTGTAACGTTCATTTTATTGACTGACGCACTTTGTGTTCGGGCTAACACACACTTTTGTTTTGCTGCCATATTTATGTGTTTTTATTTTGTGAGTGGAGCCACTTGATTCTGTTACTCCGACCTGAAGGTACAAATTGACACTAACTGCAGCAGCCGGCGTTTATTTAATGTGTCAAAAGGTTTCAAGGAGCCTTAAAATGTGCGATAATGGTGAAACTTGAGGGTTTATTGCTCGTTAATATGATTTATAACACATTGATCTGTGAAGCTGGATCGTTATCGTCGTGACGACAGACCTCATTAAGCAGTTTGGCCAGTTTGTTTCTATGGTTACATTAATGCAATCACGGCTGGCAGTTTTTAGCGCCACCTGCACACTAATATTCCACTAATATTCCAAATATGATAATATTCTGAATTTTATGCAGGATAGAAGTTTCAAAAATCAAAAATAAATTAATAAATGACTCAATAAATCAATTGAAAAGAGATAAAATGCACCAGAATAATATTAAAAATAAACCTAGGCATTTTTAAATTGATAAAATGTGACGTAAATGGATATTTCTGATTTAATTTGCTTCTGTATTTACTTTTGCTCATTAACAAGTTTGGGGAAATAAGTAAATACTTTTTAAACTTAGGAATTAATTAACTGATTCAATGTGACAGTTTTTACAGTAAAGATATTTTTATTAACCCCCAACTTTTTAATTTTCTTTTTTTTTGCTTTTTTAAGAAATTCTTAAATTTATTTTTTTCTTTTTCATTCTTTAAAATGTATTATTAAATGTATCTGGTAATCTCATGAAACTTATTTATGGCCTCAAGAAAATAAAAAAAGGAAATTTAAACAGAAATATCTATTATAATTAAAATAAAATAAATTATCTAATATTAATAGATAGATCTGACAATAATTGAAAATAAATGCAACAATTGCTAAATTCAAAAAATGATTAAAAAATATGTGAATAAATAAGGGAAAATTAAATCCATTTATTTTACTTTTTAATATTCCCTTGTATTTATTTCATATATATTTATATTTTTTTAGTTCATTATCATTTCTTCATTATTATCAAATCTATTAAACTTACATTTGATATTTTAATGTATTTTTATTCTATTATATCAGATATTTCTCTTTTAATTTGCATTTTTATTCATTTACTTTTGGTCATATATAAGTTTTGTGAGGTTAATAGATACCCTTAATAATACAGTTGAAGGTAAAAAAAAAATGCAAAAATAAATAAAATTAAGAATTAATTTTACAAATTAAATAGTTGGTGAGGGGTTAATAAAAAGATAAAAATGGTAAATACAGATGCACATTAAATCAGTAATACTAATTTATGTCACATTTTAATTGTAAATAATTTCTACATTTATTTTTGATATATTTGGTACATTTATTGGCATATTTATTTATTTATTTATTTATCAAGTCATTTATTTATTTAGTTTTGCATCTTTTGTCCTCCATACATTTTAAAACAAGTCACTTAAACAGCGTATTCTACAAGGATATTCCAAGTTAGGAATATTGGCACTAAAGTCTTTCATAGTTTAACAGTGGCAAGATTAACGATCTTAAAGCTTCTTCCATCTGAACAAAAACCATGTACTAAAAGATCATATTTAATGAATCGATATTGGATCATTCAAATAAAGATCGATTTGAATCGGATGAATCGATTCTTTTAACTCGGCCTTATTTTCGGACGTAAACGCAGCAGATGAAGGTTCATAGATTTTAAATCTGGAAAAGATCATCGGCTGAGGTTTGAAATTATTTATTTAAATAAAGAATGAGCACATGTTGTTAAATGTTTCAGATCAGCTGGAAGTGTTTTCAGTCCGTTTATTGACCAGAAAAAAAGACTGATGCTCTACGTTAACATTTCTCGTCACTCCAGTTTGCTATCTCGCAGTTTTCTCCACATATTTGTCAAAAGATGAAGATGAAAACTGTTAGAGGACGTGCCTCATGGTCGTTTTGGATACCTTCCATCACCATGTTTGTCACACGAGGCAGCGCAGAGTGACGCCGTGAGGTTTTAGACAGGTGAGGAGAAAACATTTAGAAACTTATCTGTTACCGGTTTCTCAGCTAAGTAAGAAATATAAGCTTTCATTACATGAACTGACAGAAATAACACTGTACCTCTGCTGTTAGCGACACTGACAGCAAAACACTTCTTCATTAACCTTTAAACCCTGAGCAGACCGGCCTGGTTGTTTAAAGGAACACACGAAAGGCAATGAGCAACTTTATGAGAAACGAGACAAAAAAATGAGCAAGAAATTATTAAAAAATTACAGGAAAAAAATGAAAAAATTTAAAATAAATAAGGAAATTGGCGGGAAAAAAGTGCTAAATATTTATATTGTGTACATTAATTGTAAAAATATATTTATAAATACCTTTTTTTTTTTTTTTTTTTTTGTCTTTTAGCCTCCGTGACGACTTTAGCCGTGATGGGGTAGCCTGTCCATCTCATTCTTGTGAACACAATATCTCAAGAATACCTTCAAGGCATTTCTTCATATTTGGCACAAACATCCACTTGGAGTCAGACAAGACAAGATTTTGTGGGTCATATCTCAAAGATCAAGATCAGTGTGACCATATACATCTCACTCAAGCGAACATGATATCTCAAGAATGCCTTTAGGGATTTTTTTTTGTTTGTTTTTGGCACCAACGTTTCCCTGGACTTAAGGATGATCTGATTAGATTTTGGTGGTCGAATGTCAGAGTCACTATGACCTTGCATCTGCCTCATTCTTGCGAACCTCAACTACACCTTGAGAGAGTATCTTCAAATTTGGCAAAAACATCCACTTTGAAGGATAAAGTGATTAGAATTTGGTGGTCAAAAGGCAAACATCAAGGTCACTGTGACCTTGTGCGCCACATATTTCTTCAAATGTGGTGCAAATGTTCACTTTGACTCAAATGATGAAGTAATTAGATTTCGGTGGTCAAAGGTCACTGCGACCTCGCTTGTCACATCCTCATGAACATGATATCTCAAGAATGTCTTTAGGGATTTTTTTCATTTTTAGTTTGGCACAAACGTTCCCTCGGACTCAAGAATGAACTGATTACATTTCGGTGGTTGAATGTCAGGGTGACTATGACCTCGTATTGCTCTCATTCTTGTGAAGGTGATACCTTAAGAATACCTTGAGAGTTACTTAAAATTTGGCACAAACAGCCACTTTGAGTCAAGGATGAATAATATGATAAGAATTTAGTTGTCAGAGTTCAAAGGTAAAGGTCACTGTGACTTGGTTCATTGCATTCTTGTGAATGCAGTATCTTTGTAGTATCTTTCTAAATTTGGCACAAATGTCCACTTGGACCCAGCGATGAAGTAATTAGATTTTGGGGGTGATACGTCAAAGTTCAAGGTTGTCGTGACCTTATCTCTTAATATCTCAAGAACACCTTGAGGGAGTTTGTTCAGATTTGGCAAAAATATTAATTTGGACGAAAGGATGAATTGATTACATTTTTGTTGGTCCAAGGTCAAGGTCACTGTGACTTTGTTCATCACATTCTTGTTAACACAATATCTCAAGAATGCCTGAAGGAAATTTCATCAAATTTGGCACAAATGTCCACTTGGACTCAAGGATTAGCTGATTAGAATTTGGTGGTCAAAGGTCAAGGTTACTGTGACCTCACAAAACATGTTTTTGGCCATAATTCTCCTTTTCTTTTTTAGGTTATTTTTCTTGTCAGGGACGTTTCCTGCCAAGTTGCTCATTGCCTTTTTGCACCTTGCAGAGAGTAATCAAACCAGTTTGTTCGGGTTTCAAAGGTTTAAATGTTTGATGAAGTTGTCTGAATGCAGCACAAGAAAACTGACGTCTGTCCAGGTTTCAGAGGACACCTGGAGAGGGCGACAGTGAGCCAATCGGCTGCAGAAGGATCCAAAATGAAGGAAAAATAAATAAAACAGATGTAAATGTTGCTAATATTCCATGCAGGTCATTTATCAAGTTTGCACAAAAAGAATCTGGATTTTTTTTTTTTTTTTTTGTTTGTTTGTTTGTTTGTTTTTGCGTCCCGCTCCTCGACTGCACGGTCAGTGTTGCTATCCGCTCGGTCATTTCCTGTGTCGTGATATTTGTTGTAGTGTAAAATAAGCTCGGTGGGTCGGCGCTCCCAGCTGCTAACGGTTCGTAAAAACTGGAAACTTTGAAGGAAGTTAGTTTTTGAAAACTCACTCCGTGTTGTTGAAGCTAATGATCAAGTTTTTGTTTTTAAATGCCAAGAGAATGTATTGAAAAAATAACTGTGTTGTATATATATTGATTTATTGTGATCATTTTTTAATTTAATTTTGTCTGGAACACACTAACATTGAGCCCTGCCTATTTTTTATTTTTAACTCTATTTATCGGACGATGCATTACTCGTACAGAAAACAGATATTTGCACTTTGTTTTTGTTTTTTTGAATTTGTAAATGAAGTGATTGAAAATAAACTTCAGATGGTGAACAAACACGGTTCGGTTTGCTTCCTTTTTTAATGTGACACAATATTTTAAAAATTTTATTATTCAGTGAGCAGCTTAAAAAAGAAAGACAGTGACATCATCTCAAACATAATGTGATTAATACCAAGCAGGAGAGCAGAACTTTACTGATCATCACACAGTATTAAAGGTGCAATATGTAATTTTTTAGCATTAAAATGTCTAAAAACAACAAACCAGTGTTTATATTCAGTTAAGGTATATTATCCCAAACGTTTCCAACAATATTCAAACTCAGAGAAATTCATTTTCTTATAGTCGCCATCGCCTGTCCGTGGCATAAATTGACTTTATATCCAATTTTAAGTCACATTTTTACAATTAACTTAAAAATCTTGGTCATTTTTTTTTTACATGTGTTGTAACTGGAGGAAGAATTTTAGTCATCGGATGTCTGGATTTTAAGTTATCAGAGAAACAAGCTGAGCAAACATTAGCTATAGCTCAGCTCCAGCCCCTGCTGTGTCAAACAACATCTGAAAATGACTGATTTTTAATGTGAAACTACTTTATTTAGTGTATTTAGCAGTTTAAATCACCTGATCAGTTTGTTTTAGAGAGAAAGAGACCTCTGTGGATAATTCGGCTCCTGAGAAAAACCTCCTGAACGTCTGGATCTTAACTTATCAGAGAAACAAGCTGAGCAATTGTTGAGGCCAGAGACAAGCTGTTTGCCTAGCTCCTGCTAATGTGTGCTCACCTTTTTTCTCTGGTAACTTAAGATCTAGACATTCAAGAGGTTTTTACCAGAAGATGAATCATCAGTAATTACGTATTGAAAAAAACAAAAGCATCACGTATCTTTGATTGTCATCTTATATATCAACAAACGTATAAGGTGCAGTTGTGTTCCTAACTTAGAATATAAGTTATATTTCAAAAGCTAATGTTTCACATGCTGTAACTAGCACACTAAATATAATGTGTCCGCTAACGCATCCTGGGGATGGAAACGTCGAGACTATTAGACCTCTTCTTCTTCCTCCTCTTCTTCTTCCTCATGCTTTGGCCGTCCCCTCCTCCTCCTCCGTCTTGCTGGCTCTCTCCAGGTCGGAGTAATACTCCAGCGCCCTCCTCACCGGCTCCAGAATGTGTCGCTGCACAACAACACGACAGCAGAACCTTTTAGCTTCAGACACCAGACAGGTTCAGATTATTTCAGGGATTATTTAATTTAATATCATAGTTTGTTTTGTGTTTTGCCAATTTAAAATTTAAAACGTTTTAAAAACTGGTGTCAAATGCTGAATTTCCTGAGACGAGATTGACTGATTTTATTCAGTGATTTTAATCAATAAGAATCTGATTGATGGGCACTGATAAAACTAGACCTTTATAAACCTTTGTGCTCTCTAACATTAATGTAGTCTCTGTGTTTATGATCTTAAATCATATTACTAATTGGAGGCAGTTGTTGGGTGTTACTTGTGGTGTCCCACAGGGATCCGTTCTTGATCCTCTTTTGTTCTTCATTTAAGTTAATGGATCTCATTTATGCTGCTTTTACTTTTTGGTGATTTTAATCAATAAGAATCTGATCGATGGGCAGAATCTCTCCTCTCCACCAGCGCTGGTGTTTTACCTCCAGACAGGGGAACAGCTTGGTGAGCTCACTGAAGAGCGGCAGGAGGACAAACCGGATGAACTTGGTCTGAGAGGACGGTTTGGACACTTTGTCTCGGTCCATGAAGGGAGTCACTGGAAGCCCTTTAAGTTTCTCTGTGTCGCTCTGCACAACAAGATCACAAAGGAAAGGGGTTTATTTTAATTTCAATACGCAGTATAATAATTTCAACCAACAGTTTATTGTATATTTGTAAGATTTGTAATAACCAGGACTTGAATTTGTCCAATTCTGCTCTTCATGTGACAATCTTAATATTTGATTATTTAAAAAAAGGAAGAAAACGGTGGAGGTTAACCAAAGAGGAAAAGTAAAATTTTAATATAACCCCATTTTTTTGTTTTGTGAAAAACAGTTTTCCCTCTCTCCTCTATTTCTTCGATAACTGAATCATTAACCTCCATGATATTCTACAGCGAGGTGGATGATAGAAGCTGCCAAAATCAAAACTAAATATACAGATAAATGGCGAAATAAATGAATTAATATGCCATTAAATGCACCAAAAATAATACAAAAATATGTGCAGGCATGTGACGTAATTTGACATTTCTAACAGTTGATTAATTAAGATTTCTGGCACATTTAAAGATATTAATTCACTTATTGATACAAAATATAATTAGAAGTAAATATAGGCATTAATTAATTGATAAAATATGACAAACTGATACTGTTTTGATTTTTTATTTACACTATTTACCATTGTTTTAATTCCTCTGTTTATATGCTTTCCTGTTTTATTTCCCTTTTTTTATTTATATTTTTATTTATTATGTATTTTATTGTATTTATATATTTATTTTTATTTTTGTATCTATTGTTTGAAATGTTTAATAGTTATAGTTAAGTATTATACTACTATAAATAATAGTTAATACATTTGTTTATGTATTTATATTTTTTGTGTTATTAATTTAGTTATTTGTATTAATTTTTGAATTTGTTAATTTATGCATTTATTTAATTATGTATTTCATTACATATTATAAAGTGCATTTAATGGCATATTAATTTTTAATGGAGTTATTTATTTATTTACTTAATTATTTTTATTTATGTTTTTTTTTTTTATGTATCACTTATCTTAGCATTTCCCTCTTTTTGTTTCCTCAAATTAAAAGAGGGAGGAAAAAAGGGAAAGAGATTCAAATAGAAATTTATGTCACATTTTACAAGTTAATAAATGCCTACATTTTTTTTATTTATCGAGTTGTTTAGTGGTTGATTTATTTTTGATTTGGGCAGCTTCCTTCCTCTGTATCTTTCCTCCACTGATTGCAGCGTTAGGTGTAGCTGTCTCTGATTGATTATGAAACTGAGGTCAAAAACCTGGTTGAAGAACTCCTGCAGCAGACAGTCGAGCCACGGCTCGGCCACGGCCATTGGCCTCGCCTCGTTGGAGATGTCGCTCACCTTCACCATGATCTTCATCAGCTGGAAACACCGGTAAGACAGTTTCATTTGAGCTACGTTACTGAATGTCTTTACAAGCCGTGCAGTTTTATCTTTACAGACCTGATAAGTCTGATTTTATTGTGTTATTTCAGTTTAACTATTTGTTTAATCTGAGAAGAGAAAAGAAAACACTTGAGGAGAGGTCACAGTTTGTGTTTCTTTACCACTTCCTTGTGGTCCTTGTTGGTGAAGTCGAACACCGGCTGCATGGATTTGAACTTGTTGAGAATTTCGTTGTGTCTCGCCATGTCGGTGGCCAGAATACACCTGAAAAAATTGTGTCTCTTTTAAAATACTAAACAAAAGTTCAATTTAACGTAGACGATGTGAGCTACGCTGAGGTCTTACCTGATCATTCCTCCTCGGATGTGTTTGTACTGCTCACAGGTCAGGTTTTTCAAGATGTTGCATTCTGGCTGCAAAGAAAAAGTCAATTTACAATATTTGAAACAGCTACAGTTAAAATAGGTAAGTATAATTTGTGTTTTGTATTGGGTGTTTGAATGTTGACCTTTTTTTGTCACTGATAAAAACTAGTTAAAATACTTTTAAATTTAAAAAATACAAATATCTAGGTGTCATCGAAAGAATAAAAATCAATAGCTGAACGCCTTATAAACCTCTGTGCTCTCTAACATCACTGTAGTCTCCGTGTTTATGATCTTAAATCATGTTACTAATTGGAGACAGTTGTTAGATATTACTTGTGGTGTCCCACAGGGATCCAGTCTTGATCCCTTTTTATTCCACATTTACCTAAATGGATCTCATTTGTGCTGCTTTTACTTTTCTATACTTAAAAATTTAAAAATTAAAAATAAATACATTTTTAAAATGTATTCTTTAAAAGTAATATTGTGATATTTTCTGCCAGTAACAAAAGTTAAAGTAAATCTATATCTTGCCTTTTAATTGGAAATAAATCTCTCATAGGTCTTATCAACAAGATTTTTATGTTTTATTTTTTGAAAAATTGAGTTAGTCTGCAGAAAGACAACAGAATCAATCAGATTATTACTTAAATTAAAATACCTTTGTGTTTACAAACATAAAATATTTGGGTGTCATCAAACGACTAAAAATCAATCGCTGAACATCTTGCAGACTTTGTTGTTCCCTAACATCATATAGTTTAGGTGGTTTGGTGATGATCTCAAATTATATTCTGAATGGTAAACAACTATTAGATGTTACTTGTGGTGTCCCACAGGGATCCATTCTTGATCCCCATTTATTGCATTTCCATACATGGAAAATTCTTGTTTGGAAGATTCTTTGTTTGTATACCCTCAAAAAAGCATGTATGTGTAGAGTTATACCTTTAACACATGTCAGTAAACCAACATAAACTTTCAGTGCAGAAAAATATCCTTGCACAATCCTGTCTGAATGCGTGGTGTTTTTCGTACCTTGGACATGATGCTAAAGGCGACGGCACAGTGGTGGTTTTCCAGGGGTGAAATGTCGTTGTAGCGAAGAGCTAGGTCGGTCTGAGCGTTGATCTGTGTAAATAAAAAATAAAAACAACTCACAGATTAATGATAAACAAACCTCCTGATGATGAGATGAACACAGAGAGGCGGTGAGGCGACCTGGTAGACGTTGTTGTAGCCAGGGTGGTCGAGGTCGTGGCACAGAGCCGAGGTCAACATGATCAGCAGGTCGATTTTCGCTATTTTACTCCGGAGGTCTGTCAGCCAGATCAGCCCGTACATCTGCACAACCACACACCAGTGACACCAGTGACACCAGTGACACCAGGAAGTAAACCTCCACCAATATACAGATGTTATTTGGCTTTTCACGGACAGGTGGAGGTCAGCTATACGTCAAGGCAGATTAAAAATTAGTATAGAAATAAAATAAAATAATAAAAAAAAATTAAGAATAAAAAACCAAGACAGAGATTAAAAATAAATATAGGAATAAAATACAACAAAAAATAAGAATAATAAAAGTCATGAGAGAAACAAAAAATAAATAAAGGAATAAAATAAAATGATTGAAAAAAAAAACTCTTACATAATTATTATTATTATATAGGATTTAAACTTACTACAAATGAATTAAAAACAATGGGACTTTATTATGGTCTGGTTGTAGGTGTGTCAGAGCGATGAAATGGACCCTCACTTCCTGTCCGTACCATCTGAGTGACGCAGAAGCAGTGCCTGAAGTTGTGGAAGGGGATGTTGTTGTAGTGGCAGTAGACCTCGAACAGGAAGTTCTGCAGGACCTCAAGCTCGATGTGGAACGCCGTCAGGAAGTCCAGGTCGGTGAACATCACCTGGAGGAGCACCAGCATCTCCGCCTCCTCCCACTGCCTGATGGCCACAGCACACCCAGGTGTGAGAGGAGTGTGTGTGCGTCTGAGAGTGTGTTCCTGTGTGTGTGCTTGTGCTCACCAGTTGTCAAAAATGGGGGTTTTCAGATTCTCTCTCACTTCCTCTGTCACCTGCAGCGAGCTACGGCAACACAGAGAGGACACAAGTCTCACACAGTCTTTTCCAGCTGCGCTCTTTCAACAACAGCAACAAACAAATATAAATATCAGTCTGAAGGTGCATCAGAAAACATTCATCTCTACAGAAACATTAAGAAATAAAAACACGAGTCACCTCATGCTGAGGAACTTCTTGCGGACTTGTTGGCGCTCCTCCTGCACGCTCAGCTGAGGCGTTTTGGGTTTCATGGAGATCTTGGAGAGCTGATGGTCGCTGTCCTCCTTGAACAGACCCATCCAGCTCAGGTGGCCCACACTCTGACACCACAGGAGACTTTACATTTCAGACATTTTACCAAGGTTTTTAGATATTTTAGAAATATTTTTAAATTTCTTTGTTTTACAAATATTTGTTAGATATTTTACTAATATTCTTCTTTCAATTTACCGAAATTTTTTGGACATTTTACAAACATTTCATAGATATTTTGCTCATATTTTTAAAGACATTTTACACATACTTTTTGGTCATTTTAATAAAAAAAAATTTTGGACATTTTACAATTTTTTTTAAAAAAAAATTCTGATATATTACCTATAATTTTCAGATGTTTTACCAATATTTTTTGGGTATTTTTCTAATATTTTTTCAGACATTTTATTAACTTTTTTTTAGATATTCAACTGATATTTTTCAGATATTGTCTTAGATTTTTTCCGTACATTTTACCAATATTTTTTTTTTATATTTTCCTAATATGTTTTTGGACATAAACTAATATTTTTCAGATATTTTTGTAATATTTTTGAGGATATTTTACTATTAATTTACGGACACTTAATCGGTATATTTTGGATATTTTCTAATATTTTTCAGACATTTTACTGATATTTATTTTTTATATTTTACTTTTTTTGGACATTTTACAAATATTTTTCAGACACTATATTAATATTTCTAAGAAAATATTTTTACTAATAATTTACGGACACTGAACTAGTATATTTTGGATATTTTTCTAATATTTTCAGACCTTTTACTTATATTTTTTCAGATCTTTACTCATAGTTTTTCAGACACTCTACTAATATTTTTTTGATATTTTTCCAATATTTTTTTTAAAGATATTTAACTTATATTTTTCAGACACTTAATCAATATTTTACCAATATTTTTTTTATTTTTTTAGACATTTTACTGTTATTTTTTCCGGATATTTTTCTAATATATATTATAGAGATTTTACCAACAATTTTTCAGATTTTTACTCATAGTTTTTTGGACACTTTACCAATATTTTTTTTTTTCAGACATTTTAATGATATTTTTCAGGCATTTCTGAAGAATTCTTGGGACATTTTACAGATATTTTAAAAAACACAATAAATATATAAAAAAGAAAACCTTTCATGTTCAGATTGAGTTGTGATGTGCCATAAATGTGTCATGTGTTCCTCTGGTTAATGAGTACAAGATATTTAACTAATTCATTCTGCAGACTGTGTCTTAGTGTCGTTAAAGAAGCTCAGCTGAACCTCCAGCTTCCTCTTGAACGACTCCACTTGGCTCTTCAGGTCACAGATAATATCCGGACTCTTCCCCACGTCTTCGATGACCTTGTTCTCCAGATGACGCAGCCTGACGACGGACACAGGAAACAGGAAACAACAGTGAGTTGCCGCACGCAGACGCTTCAGTAACTCACCTGTACACGATGCCCTCACCTGTACTCCATGGTGTCCAGCTCCTTTGGCAGCCCCACACCTGCACACACACACACACACACGACAAAGACTGTTTTCACATGCTGATGAAATCTGACACGTTTAAGAGAAACTGGTGAAGTCGTTTGTTTCTGAGGCTCTTATTTTATGGAGGACAGAAACTGACAAAATCAGATTTTCCCATTTGTTTCCTCAAACTGAGAATTAAATAAAGAAGCAAAATAAAACAGAAATTAATGCCTACATTTATTTTTTAATATTACTTTGGTTTATTAAATAATATATTAGTTTAATTATTGAGTCAAATTAATATTAAAAATAAATGTAGTTCTGAATTAATTGATAAAATGTGACATAAATTGATGCACCGTTTGAATTTGCTTCTTCATTTACAGTATTTACCATTGTTTTAATTCATTTATTTATTTGCATTTTATTTTCCCATTTCTTTATTTTTTCTTTATTTCATTAATTAAAAAAAATCATTTTATTATTTTATTTTTTTCTTTAACTATTCTTTATCATTTTTATCTAATTTAATGTCATTGTTTTTCAATATTTTTATTGTTTTTATATTAATTAATTAATTAATTTTTATTTATCAAGTTTTAAATGATCAATTTATAATTTTTAAAAAAAAAAAATTTCATTTGGTTAATTATGTATTTAATTATATATTATTTTCCCCTTTGTATTTCCTCAAATTTAAATAAAAAATAAAGAAATAAAGCAGATTAAAAGAGAACATCAATTAACGTCACATTTTATAATTTAATAGATGCATTCATTTATTTTTAATATTATTTTTGGTTGAATTATTGGCACATTAATTCATCAAAGGAGTAATTTATTTAATTGTTGTTATTTTTGTTTTTTTTAATGTTTGAGTTTAAGATTTTATTTATTTATTATGTAAATTTTTAAATGTATTTATTTCTATATTATTTTTCCTGAACAATGTGGTTTCAAAGAATTTAAATTTGAAAATATGTTTATGAACTTTATTTTATTTTATTGTAACAGTCTAAAAACACACATTTAACTCTACAGAATCTGAATAATATTAATATATGAATTAACAGTTGAGGTGGACGTGAGGTGTCTCAGGACGCCGCTCACTCTTCGGATCGGACGCCACCACCTCCAGTCGGTAGTACGAGTCCTGGCTGTTGGGCTTCAGGCGCGGGGAGATGTTCAGCACGCTGCCGTCTGTGTTGTACATCTTCAGGATGTGGTGAGGCCCCGCCTCCGCCGCCGCCCGGAACAGATCTGTCAAAACAATTACATATTATAATTATTATTATAATTATTACCCAGTCTTTCCTCTCCTCATTATTAGTTACAAACACACACACACACACATTATTACATTACAGTATTTGTGGAGGACGGAAGCTGCCAAAACCAAAATAAATAAATAAATGACTCGATAAATGAACTGTACCGAAAATAATATTACAAATAATTTAAAATAAAAAGAATTCAAGACTAAATTAATTGATGTTTCTGTTTTAAATTGGCATCTTATTTATTTTATTTATTTTTTCACCTTTGGTCATAAATATATAGAAATAAATTAATAAATAAATTTAAAAAATAATGCAATAATTAAAAGGGATAAAAGGGAGCATGACATGTCAGTAAAAAGGGGAATTAATACAAAGGTAAATACTGTAAATTAAAAAGAAAATTCAACTGAAATATCAATTTATTTCACATTTTAGCAATTAAAAAAGACCTAACTTTATTTATAATAATATTTTGGTACATTTAATGACATGTTAGTGAATTTATCAAAAATATATAGTTGTCAAAATAATAATAGACATAAATTGCTTTTCTGTTTTAATTTGCTTCTCTTTTTATAACATATATATTATATTAGATATTCTCATGTTTAATTTTCCCATTTATTTGTTTATATATATTTCAAATTTATTATTTTTTTTTTTAAAATTTATTTCTGATAATATTTTTTTCAATGTATTTTTTCCTGAACATTTATTATTTATACTTATTTCAGACAGTTTAAGTCATTTTAATGCATGCATGTTTTTAAAAAAATATTTTTTGTACATTACAAAAATAAATACTTAGTGTTCTAATTTGCTGTATTTTATTTACAGTACTTTCCTGTTTAATTTTCCCTTTTACGTATGCATTCATTCATTTTCTTTGCATTTATTTATTTATTTTTTACGTATTATTTCCCCATTTCTTTCTCACCAAATGTTTCCATCTCTGATATATGTGTTCTTTGTCACTACTTTGCCCTTTGCACCATAATTAAATAAAAAATAAAAAATAAATAAAATAAAAATAAATACAATTTTGAAAAAAGAATATGTATGTATAAAAATAAATACATGGAAAAAAGTGATGCATACATTTTAGTAATTAATTAATTTTCATTTTTATTTATGAACAAAATAAACAAAATTTAACAAAAAATTAAATATAACAAAATAAAAATAATTAAAAAGAATAAAATACATAAATAAATAAATAAAGGGAAAATAAAACACTTAAAATGTATAAACGGATAAATACTGTAAATAAAGAAACAATTTATGTCACAAATTTGATTTTTATCTATTTATTGAAATATTTGTTTATTTGAGTCATTCATTTTTTTGTTTTTGGTTCTGGCAGTTTTCTTCCTCCATACGGCAGCTTAACCAAACCCCTGAGAGTCAGTGATGTCCCCCTGTCCCTCCTCTGTCCCTCCTCTGTCCCTCTGTCTCTGTGTCCCTGTCCCTCTTACCTTTGACGTCTGCGGCCGAGCAGTCGTCTCCAAACTCGGCGTGCTCCAGCCTCCCGTTGACCATGAAGTGAATGATTTTTGTTGTCATCATCCGAGAGCGAGCCAGGCGGGACGCGACCTGCTCCCAGCTGAGACCTCTTGACTGTGACACCAACACATTGAGTCTGTGGAGGGTCAAAGGGACACCTGCAGCTGACAGAGGGTCCACCCACTCATCCTCACGGGGACATGGTGCCCTCTCAGCGCTGTCTGGACCCCGGCCGCTTTGTTTACTCTGGCCTCACTGTTTACTGTTTACTGTTTACTGTTTACTTCTCTGGCATGTCTATACTTTGACACTGCAACTTACTGTGAACCACTGATGTTTATGACACATGTTTACAACCTGGATGCACCATAATATTAAAATAAATATAAATGTAGGCATTAATTAATTCATTAATTAACTAAATATTTACACTATGTACATTTGTATTAATTCCCTATTTACTTTGCCCATGTATTTATTTTTGCATTTTGTTTTAATTTTTTTAATAAGTAACAAGTAACTTTAAGTGTCTAACAATACTGTTAACTGATATGAATAAATGAGTGAAAGGTAAATAAGTAATATGGAAATTAATAAATAAATAACTAACAAAAATGCTTAAGATAAATGGAAAAGAAATGCCAAAATAAATAAAAGGGGAAATTAAAAAAAAACGTGAATGAATAGGAGAATTAATAGAAAGGTAAAAAAAAAAGTAAAATGGAAATAAATAAATCTAACAAAAATTAAATTTATGATAAAAAATGCCAAAAGAAATAAAAGAAAAAAATAAGAGAAAAGTAAATAAATATGAGAATCAGTACAAAGGTAGATAATTAATACAGAAATAAACAGATAATTAATTAATTAAAAAAAGAAATACCAAAATAAATGAAAAAAAAAATTAAATAGGAAAGTAAAGATAATTAAGTAATACAAAATAAATGAATAATTAAATAAAATAAGTTATTAAAACAAAGATAAATACTGTAAACAAAGAAACAATTTAGGTCACATTTTTATCAATTATCTGATGCAAATAATAATATTAATAATATTTTTGGTACATTAAATGACATTAATTTATTTGAGTCATTTTTTTTATTCATGTCTGGTTTTGGCAGCTGCCATAAATAAATAAATAGGAGGATAAATACAAAGGTAAATAAAAAAAAAAAAAAAAACATTTAAAAGAAATAAAAAAGAAATGCCAAAATAAATATGAGGGAAAATTAAATAGGATAATAAATTAAGTGGGGAATTAATACAACAGCAAAATAATAACACAAAATAAATGAATCAATTAAATTATTAAAACAAATATAACAATTGTAAAATAAGAAACAATTTATTCACATTTTATCAGCTTCCAAAAATAAATAAATAAATAAATAAATAAATAAATAAATACTGTAAACAAAGAAACAATTTAGGTCACATTTGATCAATTACCTGATGCAAATAATAATAATATTTTTGGAACATTAAATGACATATTAATTTATTTGAGTCATTTTTTTTATTCATGTCTGGTTTTGGCAGCTGCCATAAATAAATAAATAAATAGGAGGATAAATACAAAGGTAAATAAAAAAAAAATACATTTAAAAGAAATAAAAAAGAAATGCCAAAATAAATATGAGGGAAAATTAAATAGGATAATAAATTAAGTGGGGAATTAATACAACAGCAAAATAATAACACAAAATAAATGAATCAATTAAATTATTAAAACAAATATAAAAAATGTAAAATAAGAAACAATTTATTCACATTTTATCAGCTTCCTGAACAAATAAATAAATAAATACAACAAAGAAACAATTTAGGTCACATTTGATCAATTACCCGATGCACACTTTTTAAAATAATAATATTAATAATATTTTTTGGTACATTAAATGACATATTAATTTATTTGAGTCATTTAAAAAAAAAAAAAAAGGTTTTGGCAACTGCCATAAATAAATAGGAGAATAAATACAAAGGTAAATAAAAAAATAAATAAAAAGGAAATGCCAAAATAAATATGAGGGAAAATTAAATAGGATAATATATTAAGTGGGGAATTAATACAACGGCAAAATAATAACACAAAATAAATGAATAAAATAAATTATTAAAACAAATACAAAAATTACAAATAAACTAACAATTTATGTCACATCTTATCAGCTTCCTAAATAAATAAACATATAAACAAATAAATAAATAAACAAACAGCTCCTGCAGGACGGGGTGTCATAGCGCAGCTCTGCCGGGAGGTGTCGCCATTCTGCGGCTTCCCTTCACTGCAACCTCTACGGCGTCTGCCAAGGGACATTTTATGATTTACTTTGACAAATACTGATGTTTGTGGTGTTTTATTGACAGAGACAGACTTGTAAACAACCAGCGGAGTGTTTTACACATTTAAATGTCCTGAGGATTAAACGCTGAGTCGTTTAAAGCCGCGCAGAGACGCTCCGTCACCGCCGGGCTGCGATGAGAAGTAACGGGAGTTAGTGGCCGGAGGCAGCGTCGCCACTTCGGACTTTTTGTCTCGGAACCACTGAGTCCATCCGGTGAGTGAATCTGTGACCGGTCACCGGACCGATAAGGCGTTAACGACCCCATTAGAGGCAGGTGAGTGACGGGGGAGATAGCGGAGCTGCTGCGGGGCCGCTAACTTCACTTAGCTCGCTATGCTAACGCTAGCTCGGCTGTATTTAGGTTAGAGCTAGCTAGCAGCGAGCTAACGTTGCTAACAGGAGAAGCTAACATAAACTGTTTGGACATTTACCGTCAGCCTGAATAAGCGTGTTTAAGTCGCTTACCGGCCGGTTAGCTCGCTGTAAAGTCGCGGTAACGTCTTTAACGCGGAGCTGGTGTGTTTGCGTTCATTATACGTCACGGACAAAACCGTTAACTCTTCGTTAAAGTGCGCTACTTTGGCAAACTTCGCCTTTTTGTGATTCATTTGTGCTCCAGGAGAATGAGGTCCAGAGCAGCCCTCCACCGCAGGACGTCTCGGAGCTCATCACGGCTCAGTCACCACCGTTAGCCGCCTCTGAACGGGTCGTAACCGGGGTAACAACCGGGGTGTAACCGGGGCCGAGTCTCCTGCAGCAGGACGAGTGCACACACACCGTGAGGAGGAGTGAAGGCCAGTGTCTGTGTGCAGTCTGAGTCTCATGGAGGAGGAGGTGACGGTGAGCATGGAGTACCTGCTGGAGCAGGTGATGCACAAGGACCTGGGCAAGAGGCTCCAGGTGGGCCCCGAGGTCATGGAGCTGATCCTGGACGAGGAGAGGACCCCCGACATGGAGCAGGAGCAGGGCATGCTGGACAGGATGGTGGACGCAGTGGCCAGCTCCTGGGTCAACTCCAGCAACTTCAAGGTGAGGATGAGGGTTCATGGAGGAGGGTGGAGGGTGTGTGTCTGCAGGGTGGAGGTCTGGGTCCACCTCCGCCAACAGGGGGCAGTTTCAGAGCCCTAACAGTTGAATGAGGTCACAGACACACATGTTTTTGCACTCGCTCTGTCTGTCTGCAGCTAATCTGGCAAACTACTGGACCAGTCAGCCTAATATTTGGTGTGCACATTCATGGGCAGGACTAACACATTCATCTGTAGCTTCGTCTGAGTCCTGTTAAATGTCTCTGTGTTGCTGTCGTCCTATCAGGATCTGTATCGGCCGATGAAGAGACATTCATATTATTATTGATTATTATTCTGATATTAAAACTTCCAGCAGATAAATAGAGCTGATAACACAAAGACAAACTGGTTTCATTGATGTAACTGGTGCAGCATCCGCAGCACTGATAGACACAGAGAAGAAGAAGAAGAGGAGGAGGAATAGGAAGAAGATGAAGAGAAAAAAGAAGAAAAAGAAAACAGACGAAGAAGAAGATGAAGGGGAAGAAGGAGACAAAAAGGAAGAAGATGCCAAAGATGAAGACGAAGACAAGAAGACAAAGAAAACAGACGAAGTAGACGAAGAACAAGATGAAGGGGAAGAAGATGATGGAGAAGAAAATGAAAAGGAAGAAGAAAAGAAGATGAAGACAAAGTAAACAGATGAAGACGACGTAGAAGATGATGAAAAAGACGAAGACAAAAGGAAGAACGAGGTGAAGAAGATAAAGAAGAAGATGATTAAGAAGACAAATGAAACAGACGAAGAAGACCGAGAGGACAAAGAAGAAGATGAAGGGGAAGAAAAAGAAGATGATGAAGAAGACGACGAACAGGAAGAAGAAGAAAAGACGATGAAGACAAAGAAAACAGAAGAAGAAGAAGATGATGAAGAAGACAAAGCAAACAGACGAAGAAGAAGACCGAGAGGATGAAGAAGATGAAGAGGAAGAAGAAGACAGAGAGGATGAAGAAGAAGATGAAGGGGAAGAAGAAGACAGAGAGGATGAAGAAGAAGATGAAGGGGAAGAAGAAGATGAAGAGGAAGAAGAAGATGAAGAAGACAAAGAAAACAGATGAAGAAGACAGAGGATGAAGAAGATGAAGAGGAAGAAGAATAAGATGATGAAGAAGACAAAGAAAACAGATGAAGAAGACAGAGGATGAAGAAGAAGAAGATGATGAAGAAGACAAAGAAAACAGATGAAGAAGACTGAGAGGACAAAGAAGAAGAGGAAGAAGAAGGAGATGTAGAAGAGGAAGAAGAAAATAGTGATGACGAAGAGGAAGAAGAAGAAAAGGTGATGAAGACAAAGAAAACAGACGAAGAAGATGAAGATGAAGAGCTGTTTAACAGTCCAAACAAACCACACGACTCTGTCGTCACACCTTTTAATAACCGTTAGCGTTAGCGATGCTAACAGTTAGCATTGTGACTGTGTGCCTGTGACTTCAGGTTCAGAGGCAGAGTGAAGCTGACTGTGTGACCAAACACACACACACGACCAATCATATCACAGCTCCCTGTGTTGCCCTGGAAACGCAGTGTCCTGCAGTCTGGCTGATGCGTGTGGTGTGTAATGGTGTGTAATGGTGTGTAATGGGGACGATGCTCCCAGGCGAACATGGTGGCCCTGAGCTTAATTTACCAGCACCATTAGCCCAGTTTGCTCCTCTCTCCTGCTGTGACCGACTTTAGCAGCTCCAGCTCTGGTGTGCAGGAAGCCCTTTGTGTGTGTGTGTGTGTGTGTGTGTGTGTGTGGCTGTTAGTGGTGGCAATCGATCAGTTATTGATGAGGTCAGACAGCTTCATGGTTAAAGTCAGCTGTTAGTGTCAGAGTGACGTTAATGTTGATGTAAATCCTCTCACATGCACACACACGTGTAACACCAGTCAGCGTCCAGCAGATGGCGCCAGAACTGACGTAGTCCTTCCTTCCATATTTGTAGTTTTCTCTCACGAGTGCGGAGAGGTTCCAAAAATTGCATCATAGCCTGAACAGGAAGTCCAGGTGATGCTGCTGTGTTGGTCAGGTGTCAGCAGAGAGGCTCTCACTACACGTTCATTGAGCTTCCCAAACCACCCCATGACAAGGAAAGTTAGCACACATGTGTACAGAGACATGTTAGTGACATACAGACAGCTCCCTCACTCATGGTTGTGCGTGACTGCAGCGTTTCACCTCATTAAACCACAGACAGCTGTTTTATATTTCAGCTTCACGTCACAAAACTCGTCTGTTTTCATCACTTCCTGTTTCCTGACATCAAAAAGCTCAGCTTGGACTGATTACCCATGATGCTTTGCAGCACACATTCAAATCCATTGCTCCTGTGCTGATGTCAGGTTGTAGTTTTGGGGAGTTTCTTCATTGTTAAGTATTTCAAAGAAGATTATACAGACAGTTTATTGTTGTGTTAGTGATGTTTTTTATTCTAATAAATATTTATATGTCACATTCACAGATATTAAACACATTATTGTAGAGATAGAGGATTATATTTGGACATACCGGAACATTTTTATTTTTTTCTAAATGAAATAAATAAATACATAAATGAAATGAGGTTGTTTGTTTGTTGTCCCTCAGGTGGTGCTGCTGGGGATGGACATCCTGTCAGCTCTGGTCAGCAGGCTGCAGGAGAGGTTCAGGACGCAGGTGGGAACAGGTGAGCTGCTTCAGACACAACACAGGGATTTGAAACGAGAGCAGTGAAGTGGATTTTAAATAAATAAATAAATAGAGATTGTGATTCCCGACTGCTCTGGTGCTGTTGCTTTGGTGTGAAGCCAAGAGATAACCACACCCCCACTCATTCTGATTAAAGACATGGAAATATAAAGAGCTGTGAAATGCACCTGGCTTCAGGAAATACAAGTCCCCTGAGATGAATTAACAAATGTGGGATTTTTAAATAAAAGACGCCTGGATTAAATTTACGAATTAATTAATGTGGAATTATAAAATAAAAGTCTCCTGAAATAAATAAACAAATATGGAATTCTGAAATAAAAATCCCCCGAAATTAAAAAAATAAATAAATAAATGTGGAATTATAAAAGTCCCCTGAAATAAATAAACAATAGTAAATTTATTAAATAAAGATCCTGTGAAATAAATAAACAAATTCCCCAAAATTAAAAAAATAAAATAAACAAATGTGTGGATTTGGAAATAAAAGATGCTTGAAATAAATAAATAAATAAATAAATAAATAAATAAATAAATAAATAAATAAATAAATGAATGAATGAATAAGTACTGATGGAACTGATTAAAGAAAAGTCTCCTGAAATAAATAAATTAATTAATTAATAAGGTATTATGAAATAAAAATCCCCCAAAATTAAAAAATAAATAAATAAATAAATAAATGTGGAATTATAAAAATCCTGTGAAATAAATAAACAATTGTGGGATTTTTAAATAAAAGATGCCTGGAAAAAAAAAATAAACCAATGTGGAATTTATTAAACAAAAGTCCCCTGAAATTAATTAATTAATATGGAATTAAGAAATAAAAATCCCCTGAAATTAAAAAAAATAAAATAAATAAAGAAATGTGAGATTTTGAAGTAAAAGAAGCTTAGACGCCTGAAAAAAATAAATAAACCAGTGTGGAATTAATTAAATAAAAGTCTCCTGAATTAGATTTATGAATGAATTAATGTGAAATTGTTAAACAAAAGTCCCCTGAATAAATAAATAAACAAATGTAAAATGTATAAAATTTAATTTATGCCCTGAACTAAATAAATTAATTAATTAATGTGGAATTACGAAATAAAAATCCCCTAAAATACATAAATAAATGTGGAATTATAAAAGTCCTCTGAAATAAATAAACAAATGTGGAATTGATTAAATAAAAGTCTCATGAGATAAATAAATTAATTAATTAATGTAGAATTATGAAATAAAAATCCCCCGAAATTAAAAAAATAAAATAAATAAATAAATGTGGAATTATAAAAGTCCTCCGAAATAAATAAACAAATGTAAATTTTATAGAATAAGAGCCCCCTGAAATAAATAAACAATTGTAAAATTTATTGAATTAAAATCCTGTGAAATAAATAACCAAATGTGGAACTTGTGAAATAAAAGTCTCCTGAAATAAATCAATAAATAAATAAATATGGGAATATGAAACAAAAGTATCTTGACATAAATAAATTATGAATTAATTAAATAAAAGTCTACTGAATTAAATTTATGAAAGAATTAATGTGGAATTATAAAATAAAAGTCTCCTGAAATAAATAAATTAATTAATGTGGAATTATGAAATAAAAATCCCCCAAAATTAAAAAAAATACAATAAATAAATAAATGTAGGATTATAAAAGCCCCCTGAAATAAATAAACAATTGTGAAATTCATTAAATTAAAATCCTGTGAAATAAATAACCAAATGCGGAACTTGTGAAATAAAAGTCTCCTGAAATAAATCAATAAATAAACATGGGAATTTGAAATTAAAGATGCCGTAAATAAATATATGAAAAAATAAATGTAAAACAAAAGAAAGGGAGAATCAATACATTTCCAAAGACACGTGTGTCCCCACAGACGTGTGGATTTATTGACTGCTGTATTCATCCTGTGCACTTGTTGCTGAGCACACAGGATATAAACGTGTGTCAGTGACCTTGTGTCTCTGCTGTGTGTGGCGCCTCAGTGCTGCCCAGCCTCATCGACCGCTTAGGAGACGCCAAGGACCAAGTCCGGGACCAGGACCAGGCTCTGCTGCTGAAGATCATGGACCAGGCGGCCAACCCACAGGTCAGCACACGTTCACTCCTTCAGCACACAGGTAACTGCACTGAGTGCTCGTCAGAGCCGTGGTCAGTGTGTGGCACTAACACCTGAGCTGTTGTTTGTGCAGTACGTGTGGGAGCGCATGATGGGAGGCTTCAAACACAAGAACAACAGGACCAGAGAAGGACTGTGCCTCTGTCTCATCTCAACTCTCAACGTGTGAGTGAACACATCAAGTCACATTTCATCTCATCATATTTGGCACAAAGGTTCACGTGGTGTTTGTGTTTGGTTCTCCAGGTTTGGATCTCAGAGTCTGACGCTCAGTAAAATCGTCCCTCACATCTGTAACCTCCTGGGAGACCCCACAAGTCAGGTACGACCACAGGTTTAACCTGCTGCTCTTCTGTGGTCGTCCATATGTGGACGTCTCTGTGATCCCTGCTCTGTGACCGCCCCCTGCTGGTCAGACACACACACTACAGCTCAGCAGGAACCAGGATGTTTTCCTGATGTATTTTAGGAGAGAAATCCACAGCAGGGATCAAACCTGTGACCTTGCAGCCGTTACGGGGTCGCTCGACTCTCCACCCCGCTGCACACGTCTATCATCACCGGAACTACAGCTTCCTCTGGAGGACAGGAAGCCGTGCCCATGAGCTTCCCTTCCTGCAGACAAACACACTCTGAAGCACTTGTCTTCTGCGTTACCAAGCATCATCACCATGATGATGAGCTCAGGAACCGCTGTGATATTTGTGTCTGACGGTTTGCTGGTGAGAGGAAAGTGGAGACCAGCTGGAGACAGATAAAACTATGACATGTTCCAGTGCTCAGCGTTCAGCTTGATTCAGATTTATTTATTTTACACTGAGCAGAAAACATTTTTGAAATGCTGTCAGATTACCTCAAAGTACAGCAAGCAAACGATGTGCTAAAACAAGATGTTAAATGAAAATGAAGTACAGCAGCAGTGTGTTGACGTGTTGTGTTCTCATCGTGGTCCTTTAGGTGCGTGACGGAGCCATGAACTGCCTCGTGGAGATCTACCGCCACGTCGGGGAGCGAGTGAGGATGGACCTGGGAAAGAAGGGTCTGCCTCAGTCACGGTGCGTTCAAATGCTCACTGCACGCTGTCACAACAATAACAATATGATAATTATTTGAATTTATTTTTCTGTAATTTTTTGTTGTTAGCAGAACAGAACGTTCTCTGACTGAGAGACGAAATGAAATGAATAAAACAAAATAAAATGAAATAGGACGAAACAAATAAAATGGGGGTGTTGGTAGCGTAGTGGATAGTGCCGGCGCCCCATGTACAGAGTGATGCCTCGCTGCAGCGGTCACAAGTTCGACTCTGGTTTGCAACTCTTTGCTGCGTGTCGTCCCCCTACTCTCTCTCCGTCTCCCCATTTCACACTGTCCTGTACATTAAAGGCAAAAATTAATAAAAAAATAGCCCCAAAAAATAATCTTAAAAAAATAAATAAAATAAAATAAATAAAATGAAATAAAATAAAAACTAAAACAAAATAAAAT